CATGAAAATGAGGTCAAGGTCAGATAACACCTGCCAGTTGGACATGTTCACCTTACAGTCCTTCCATACACCGAATATGCTAGACCTATTGCTTCTAGTACCTGAGATGTGGACTTGACCACAAAAACTTAACCTTGTTCACTGATCCATGAAATGAGGTCGAGGTCAAGTGAAAACTGTCTGACGGGCATGAGGACCTTGCAAGGTACTCACATACCAAATATAGTTATCCTATTACTCATTATACGAGAGAAATAAACATTACAAAAAATCTTAACTTTTTTTTCAAGTAGTCACTGAACCATGAAAATGAGGTCATGGACAATGGACATGTGACAGACAGAAACTTTCGTAACATAAGGCATCTATATACAAAGTATGAAGCATCCAGGTCTTCCACCTTCTAAAATACAAAGCTTTTAAGAAGTTAGCTAACGCCGCCGCCGCCGGATCACTATCCCTATGTCGAGCTTTCTGCGACAAAAGTCACAGGCTCGACAAAAACTAAAGTATAATAATCAATCTGTGATGCCAAATACGGGATAGTTTAAACTCCTTATATGATCTCCTTATATGATATATGATATAAAAAAAATATGCCATTTCATACTATCCCGTCAATTTCTTTATATGACCAGATGTTTCTCGTGAAAGAGAACAAAGTCAGTATAAATGGCTTTTTAAATTACCCTTATTTATTTTAGGGTATTTTCTTTTTAAGTATGCCACTAAATATTTTTACACAGTGTAATGAAATATTACCATAAAATAATGATTTAGAAAAAAATATATAGACGGAAATTTATGTCGTTACTTATTGGTCCATTGAACGTGCATCCGTGTTGTTAGATTCAGAGGTCATCAGAGCCCCTGTAATGGCTGTATTGGCTGTATATTAAAAGGACAGCCTAATCAAAAAAACATCTCTGACCTACAAATACCTAAATTATATTTAAAATAGAATGAGATTGTGAAACCTAAATAAAACAAGTACAAAATAAATTTAATATAAGGCAGGTGTAACCTGAAAGGTTATCGGTGTATTTTTTTTTAAAGGCAGTGCTTTAATGCCTTTCTAGTTGCCGGGTTAATCCTTCCTTCCGCGATATCCAACTTATCTACGTGGGGGGTCATTAGACTCCAAGTAGATCCGGAAATGTTGAATTCTCTCCTCTTCTTATTGCGATATAAAATGTTTTTTGTTTCATTTCATTTACATTGGGAAATAGAGAAACGATCATTGTGTTTTGTTAGATTTAAAAACTTTTGATATATTAGTATTTTGCATTATAAGCAGTCAACCGATTGACAAACTAGAATTATTTGAATTCCGTGTGGAAAGAGCTCGGGTTAATTTCGAGTGTTATCTGCAATCTAGATGTTTATAAATCATTTCAGTCGTTGATAGAATAATTAAAGGTCGACTGAACATGAATTATATTATACAATTTAAAGCGCATTTCTGTTTATGCACGTGAACCCGTCCAACGTTATTTTCGCAGTTATATAAAGTAGCAAATTATCGTTCCTGAATAGGTGGCGCCGTGGTAGCGGATCCTGTTCCTCTACTTCCGGTTTCTGCACTGTGCAACTATTTCAGTTATATTTTTAATTAACGATGCCAAGTACTTGTTGTTGTGTACCTGGATGTCATTTAAGAGGAGGACATGCATTTCCAAATGACTTAAAAAGAAGGAAAAGTTGGATCAACGCCATGGCCCATACGCAGATTGGACGAGAACACGATGATATCGTGAAGTCCATCTCAATCAGCTGTTGTTTGCAAGGCACGTTTTACTGAAAAAGACTACGTGCAGGAAACTATTCATGGTAAAACTCTATTTTCTTTGTGAAATATATAGTTATATATGTAATCGCCATGCGAATAAACCAAAGTCTGTTTACAACCGCAATTATCGTTATAGAATAAAACTTAAAAGGGGGTGGGTAATTCAAGACGTCATAATTTTTTGGATTACGATTCAATGTGATCTGTTTGAGATTTTTTGGTGATTGCTACAATTATAATGATTTCTTACAAGAGGTATATCATACTGAGAATTATTTTAGCAGTAATTATGCTAATGTAGTAATGACAGGAATGCATAAGCTATGCCTCATAGACTTTCTTGAAAAATATCAATGACAATGTTAACAGGAACAAAACAGTGACATGCTCTCATCTATATTATAGTTATTTATGTACAAACAATGCACGTTTGTTGCATAAGTCTCTCATTGTTTGTCCTTTGGATTTACATAACATACATTGAATCAGGCAAACATAGTTTTATCCAGATTGTAATGAATAAATCTAGTTAATATTTCGCCAGGTAGTACAAAGTATACATTGCTAATGGAACTTCATTTAATTATAAAAAAACTAATGTTTTATAACCTTTTTCAGGGCGCAAACCCACCATACAGAGACTTAAGTCTACTGCAATTCCCAGCCTATTTTCCTGGACCAAGCAAGAGACTGAATCGTCCGCAAAAAGAAAAATCAGGGCAGTTTCCTGTGAAAACAAAAGAACTAAACTTGATGAATATTGTAGTAGAAATCTAGAGGAAAGTTTTGATTGTAAAGTTGGTTTTCCTGAAGATGTCATTCATACTGCAGAAAGGATTTATGACTGTCCACCACCAACTGCCGAGCTAATGTTGAGCTTCACAGATGGAATTACGCAAACACCATCAATGTCTATGTTTTCAGCAGAGAATTTTGAAATGAAGACACGTGACACAGCCATGCATTTTTATACCGGTTTAGAGTTTTATACTAAATTTTTTTTGTTTTGACCACACTTGGTCCAGCAGCACATTGTTTGAGATACATATATTTTCAAATTGATAGGGTGTCAGTTGAAAATCAGTTTTTTTATGACTTTGATGAAATTGAGGCATCATACAACCAACTTTGAACTGTCTAGATTCTAGATTGAATCTAGTGTTAAGAATATTGTGTATACATGGATTGTTTTTATGTCTAAACAGTGGTGTGAGGCTAACACTTGGCCATCTAGTGGTTTAGTCAGGTATTTTTCACCATCCAACTTCAAATTAAAGTTTCCTACGACTTGGATTATTATTGACAGCACAGAATATCCCGTGATAAAACCTAAAGCTCCTAGAGCTCAGGCAACCTTTTCATCAAATAAAAACAGAAACACTGAAAATTCTTGAATGTTCGACACCTGGTGGTTTAGTCAACTATGTCTCTATGTCACATAGAGCGAATTATTGGACTTGGCAAAACATACAAAATTCTAATAAATCCTATGAATGGAACTGAAACAAAACTTTCATCTGAAATAACATTTAGTTGTTTTATGTTGTGTAATTTTAGAACTTGTATTGTGCCAAAGGATGCATAAATAAAAGTGACGCAATGAATTTTGTTCTGATATATACATGTATATATTTACAATTACATGCACATGTAAATTGTAATGCATATAAAAATAAGGAGATGTGGTATGATATTCAGTGAGTTTATCAAACTAAAGTGCATAAGAAATGGGTTTAAGCAGTTACAGGTGTTACTGTCACCGTACAATCTCCAACAATGAGAAAAACTCGTACCCTGTAAAAAATTTCAGAGATCTTACAAATAAGTTTTGTTGTCTCACCTTGACTTTGGTGAATTTTCTATATCTGTTGATGTAAATATAAAAAAGAAGATGTGGTATGATTGCCAATGAGACAACTCTCCACACATGCACAAGAGACCAAATGACACAGAAATTAACAGCTATAGGTCACAGTACGGCCTTCAACAATGAGCAAAGCCCATACCGCACAGTCAGCTATAAAAGGCCCAGAAATGACAATGTAAAACAATTTAAACAAGAAAACTAACGGCCTATTTTATGTAAAAAAATGAACAAATATAACAAATATGCAACACATAAACAAACGACAACCACTGAATTACACTTTTATAGGCTCCTGACTTGGGACAGGCACATACATGTACATACAGAATGTGGCGGGCTTAAACATGTTAGCGGGATCCCAACCCTCCCCCTAACCTGGGACAGTGGTGTAACAGTACAATATAAGAAAGAACTACAAAAATCAGTTGAAAGAGGCTAAACTCATCAGATGGATAAATACAAATACAAGTGGACGTGGTCGGGTAGTTGTACATCCAAACAACAAAAAGACACTAAGTACAAATCTGAGAGTACTAGCAGTTACTGACAGCTAGTTCAAAGCCACTAACAACTGATAAAAAAATCTTGCATCTAAGACTAAATTATCAATCCGTAAGCTCCCTTTAGAATTTTATAAATTATAGATTTTACATTTCTGAGTTATGGGGTTTTATTCATTAAAAAAGGGGGGATTTTCCAGTTTTTGGACAACAACTCAAAAATGCTTTAAGCAGTTCACATGAAACTTTGGTGAATTATTTATAGCTATTGATGTAATCTCCCTATTGATTTTCATAAATTTCAAATATGACATTGAGAAGAAATTGAACTTTATTTGTTTATAGTCTGGCAACAGATTTATTAAGTATTGCACAACGGCACAGTGTATTGCACAACAGCAAGAAATCTTTAATTGAATATAAATTCAATTCATATAACCGATTTCAAGTTCATTGACTACATTTATTCAGAAACTATAATATGTCAAATATTTAATTACAATCCAAATTCAGACCTGTATCAAGCTTGAATATTGTGTCCATTTTTGCCCCAGCTGTTCAGGGTAGTACCTCTGCAGGTGTATTTTTGTGGTCGTATATTGGTATGACGTTGTCGTCGTCGTCCGAAGACCCATTAGTTTTCGCACTCTAACTTTAGTTTAAGTGAATGGATCTCAATGAAATTTTAAAATAAGTTTCAATACCACAAAAGGAAAGTGGGGATTGATTTTGAGGGTTATGGTACCAACAGTTAAGGAATTAGGGGCCAAAAATAAGCATTTTTGTAACTTCCAGACATAACTTGTGTGTAAGTGTATGGATCTCTCTGACATTGTACCACAAGGTTCCATATCACAAAGGGAATGCTGGGATTGATTTTTGGGGGTAATTGCCTCCAAATTTTAGGAATTAGGGGGCAAAAAACAAGCATTTTTCTAGTTTCATGACAATAACTTGTGTGCAAGTCTATGGATCTCTCTGACATTGTATCACAAGGTTCCATATCACAAAGGGAATGCTGGGATTGAATTTGGGGGTAATTGCCTCCAAATTTTAGGAATTAGGGGCCAAAAAGGGGCAAAAAACAAGCATTTTTCTAGTTTCATGGCAATAACTTGTGTGTAAGTGTATGGATCTTTATGAAATTGTACTACAAGGTTCCATATCACAAAGGGAAAGCTGGAATTGAGTTTGGGGGTAATTGCCCAAAAAGTTTAGGAATAAGGGGCCAAAAATAAGCATTTTTCTAGTTTCCAGACAATAACTTGTGTTCAAGTGTATGGATCTCTCTGAAATTGTACTGCAAGGTACCATACCACAGAGGGAATGCTGGGATTGATTTTGGGGGTAATTGCCTCCAAATTTTAGGAATTAGGGGCCAAAAAGGGGCAAAAAACAAGCATTTTTCTAGTTTCATGACAATAACTTGTGTGTAAGTCTATGGATCTCTCTGACATTGTATCACATGGTTCCATATCACAAAGGGAATGCTAGGATTGATTTTGGGGGTAATTGCCTCCAAATTTTAGGAATTAGGGACCAAAAAGGGGCAAAAAACAAGCATTTTTCTAGTTTCATGGCAATAACTTGTGTGTAAGTGTATGGATCTTCAGAAATTGTACTACAAGGTTCCATATCACAAAGGGAAAGCTGGGTTTGAGTTTGGGGGTAATTGCCCTAAACGTTTAGGAATTTGGGACCAAAAAGGGCCAAAAAACAAGCATTTTTCTAGTTTCCAGACAATAACATGTGTTCAAGTGTATGGATCTCTCTGAAATTGTACTGCAAGGTACCATACCACAAAGGGAAGGCTGGGATTGAGTTTTGGGGTGATGAATCATAAGGGGGTTCAAAAAATTTTGGGGGGGGGATTCTTTTTCCTTTTTTTTCTTTAAAATTTTCCATTTTAAATTGGTTATTTCTGATTTATAATGATATGGTTTGAATAGGTAAATTAAATTTTTTTAAGTATCTTAGACCACTTTCATTCTGTGTCAGAAACCTATGCTGTGTCAAATATTTAATTACAATCCAAATTCAGTGCTGAATCAAGCTTGAATGTTGTGTTCATACTTGCCCCAACTGTTCAGGGTTCGACCTCTGCGGTCGTATCAAGCTGCGCCCCAGCGGAGCATTTTATTTCATTCATAAATTACTTTATGCTTGGAAATATAATTTTGCTTGGAGTTGAAAGAGTTGACATGTTGCAATGTACATTTACTCTACATAGTTCTATGGTACCAAATCAAAAGTTTATATAAAGAAAGAAGTCAAAGGTTTCCCATCATAGTTTAGTTACATACATTTTTTTTTGTACCTGAGGTCGTTGAATATAGATCATTATATAAATAAGGAGATGTGTTATGATTGCCAATGAAAAAACTAAGGATTTTCTTATCCAAGGAATAGATTACCTTAGCCGTATTTGGCACAACTTTTTGGAATTTTGGGTCCTCAATGCTCTTCAACTTTGTACTTGTTTGGCTTTGTTACTATTTTGATCTGAACGTCACTGATGAGTCTTATGTAGACGAAACACACGTCTGGCGTATTAAATTATAATCCTGGTACCTTTGATGACTAATTTGACTATAAACATAGATAAAAAAGGTACAAACTGGACATAATGCACTAGTTCATAAACAAGTGAGAACAATCGCCTTCATATAGTGCTCAGAATATGACATTCATAAAACTTATTCAATATCATTAGAGAACTCTAAATCTTAAATACTGAAAGCCACCTCTGATAAGTACACTGTACTATGCAAGATAATGATATAACTGGACTTAAAATACACACAACCTGTAATTAACTGCCTTTACAGCGCTTTCGTGCTTTGATTTATTTAACATTCTTTCAGTAATCAGTTGTAGATAAACAAATTGCTGTCAATGATAAACTCAGTAGATGCAAATTTACAGAATATGTTTTGCAATATCAGTAGAAAAAACATCCCTGTCAGACCTCTGGGAATCATACACATGTTTTTGACAACGTTATTTTGCACAAATAAAGAGTCTAAGGCAGATATAAGTACGCTGATGTTGCACACTTCGAATGATGCACTGCCAATTTAACAGTTTACGTCAGAACTTCGAATTTGAATCAAAGAAAGTTTAATATCGTTTTTTTTAATGTCAATCATTGGGATGGCCAACTCTGCAACTGATTACCATAATTGCCTTTTGTTTATTTAGTCTTAAGGGATTAAAATCGGGATAATATATAAAATGTCCGGCTGGCTAAAAATAATTTTGGAAGCCCTGCCACATACTATAATTTTACTGAGTGCACAAGTCACACAGTTCAGTGGGAAAGAAAAGGCTGAAATTCCAAATCATTCCCACAAAGTTGGTCATCTTGGTCATATACATGTACATGTATCATCCAATTAGTTATATATATGACTTCATCAAAAATGTACTAAAGTAAAAGCTGTAATTTGACCTATAATGGTTTACTTTTACAAATTGTGACTTTGTTTTGTGACATGTAGATCATCTGCTGAAGGCCATTATGAGCTTTGCTGTAGCAATCATATGGGGAATGTTTTCAATCATTGACCACTTGGGGTCTTTTGTTCATTATTGATAAAAAATCATTAAATTTTACCGGCACTATCATGGGTTGGTTAACTGTTATGGAATACTTGTTTCATAGATGACAATGTATAATTTGTATGTTCCAGTTGTTGTAAACATGTATTTTTTCATTCATGTTGATTTTCAAAAATATGTTAAATTGCTTGGCATGATATTGTGTTACGTTCCTGAAGAATTGAAAAAAAAAAAATTGAGCTTACATCTTCAAAAAGACTCTACATATATATATATAGTTGTCATGTTCTGAGAGTATTATTCATGTTTTCAGTCAGTTCTTAGACGAGCTGTCCATCAGTGTCAGAGAGGATGGAGCCAAAGATTGTACAGCATGTCAACAACTGGTCACAAAGTTCCATCTTCATATGGAGGTGAACAAAGAAATTTGCCAGTTGACTTCTTGTCTGATGAAGAAAAGATGATGAAGGAAACAGGTTTGTATTTCATTGTATGGCTTTGAATAAGAAGACTTGTAACATAAAACAAATGAAAGTCAATAACTAAGAAATGCAAAATTAAAATGCCACAGTAAATGTTCTTGAGGCAAAAGACACCAACATTTGTCACTTCTACTAGGTCTGTACCACTATCCAAGGATAAATCAGGCCTCTACATACACAGTTTCGGGAGGTAATCAAAAATGAGTTTAACATATATGCATAATCATGATAATGCTATGTGTTAGTTAATGCCTAACAAAAACAAAATGGTCACCAGCTACCATAACTAATTTCAATCAAGGAAGACCAAGACGTACTTCTTGGGCCCTGGTGCCTTATTTACAAAAATATGTGTGTTGTTGTTCTCATTGACATAAATACCCCACATCTCCTTTAATCATATTTTTGAAAATGAAACTAGGGTTTGTCAATTTAGAAAGGTACTTAAAACATGTTAAAGTAGAGCTTGACTCTTTGTTTTGTCTGAATTTGCCGCCTAAAACATATTGACAAAGAATTGTGCTTGGCCTGAAAAATATTCAATCCCAGAGATGAATGTTGCTCACTTATGTTCTTTTTCTTATATTTAGTGGCTAAAATGGCAGCAGAAAAGATCCAACCTTTGGTCAGACAGATGGATGCAGACAGTCAGTTGGCCCCATCAGTGCTACAAGCTTTATTTGATAATGGGGTAGCTATAAAACATTTACATGCTTCAGGATTTTCACTTCAGTTTTAAATATGTTTTTGCTTTTATACAGTGTGGTCTAAAAAGCTTTATTTGGGGGTGTTATGTGCATTTAAAATTTTTTTTAAAATGGTAAAGTAAACAGTAAACTACTTTTATATGACTACTATTTAAAAAAATAAATGACAAAATAGTTAGAGAGAACATGAAATTTAGAGAATCAAGTCATTTATGGTACATTTATGTATGAAATAACATTGTCATATAAATACGTGATCTTAGATGGACTGTATGCTGGTAATTTACAATAGAACATGTTATACCTTATACAAATTGTTTTATTTTTATTTCATAGCTGATGGGTATAGAAGTTGACACAGAGTATGGAGGCACTGGTTCAACATTTTTTATAGCCAATCTGATTATAGAGGAGTTAGCTAAAGTGGATGCCTCAGTCAGCGTATTAGTAGATGTACATAATACATTGATAAACAACTTAATACAAAAATTAGGAACTCAGGAACAGAAAAACAAATATCTTCCTCGACTTGCAACTGACACTGTAGGTACTTGTATGCTAAGTTTATAACCCCTTTTTGTCTAAAAGAGTACTTCGTTACATTATAAAAACATAGAATATTAGAATTTTAGACCACAATAGAAGAACACATTTTCTTAGGAATTAATTTTAGGTCAGTTTATCAAAGTTCAAGTTCACATTGCTTATAAATAAACTGAAATCCTTGGGGGAAAAAATTCCCTGACAATATCTTTTCAGCCATAAATCAATATCTACACTAATTTAGGGGATAAAACACCTTTGTGTTTGTTTTAGGTCGTCGAGTATAATGTCAAGATTACAGCAGCAATAAGTAGAATGAAATTAAGAGCTTTTTTTGTTTTCAGATAATATCTTTGGAACCATATGTCCAATCAAAACAACATTTTGTTTGAAAACCTTCCTAGGTCCCTTACCTGGCACGTCAAATTCAAGAAGATTGCAAATTAGCTCATGCTCATACTATTTTCATTTCTACTGTCCTGTTTTGACCATTAGAAATTTTTATCCCATGTGCTTTTTATACGACTGCAAAAATTAAAAATTTTTTGGTCGTATATTGGTATCACGTTGTTGTCGTCAGCATCGTCAGCGTCGTCTGAAGACAGATGGTTTCTGTATAATAACTTTACTATAAGTAAATAGAAATCAATAAAATTTTAACACAAGGTTTATAACCACTAAAGGAAGGTTGGGATTGATTTTGGGGGTTATGGTCCCAACTGTTTAGGAATTATGGGCCAAAAAGGGGCCCAAATAAGCATTTTTGTAGTTTGCAGACAATAACTTGTGTTAAAGTGTATGAATCTCTATGAAATTATACCACAAGTTTCCATACTACAAAGGGAATGTTAGGATTGACTTTGGGGGGGTTATGGCTCAAACCAATTAGCAATTAGGGGCAAAAAAAGGGGAAAAACAAGGGTTTTTCTGGTTAAAGGACAATTGAGACAATTTAAAAGCAGTGTAAGGGAGGTAATCCAAATCAATTAAAAGAACAGTTTGATTACCTCCCTTACAATGCTTGTAAATTATGTATTAAGAAATGATGATTGTCTTGAGGTGATTAGCTGTCAATTTATTTTTAGCAGTTACTATTAATTAATATTAATTTTAGCCATGACTATGTATGTCATTTTATATTTTAAAACTTTTATGATGTATTTAAATGGGTAATTATGGTTGCAAACTCCATTAGAAATTTGAATTGAGATACTGACCATATCTTGAGGGAAAGATTGTTTTTGGGGGAATAAGGGAAAGGGGGGAGGTGAAAAAAATTGGAGGGGGGGACAATTTTTCTCATTTCAGATTTCAGAAATTAAAAGAAAATTTCTTCAAATATTTTTTTTTGGGGGTTGATATTCAACAGCATAGTGTATTGCACAAAAGCAAAACCCGGAGTAAAATTTTTTTTTTTTTTGGGGGGGGGGGGGGTCAATTCGCAACACAGCATAGTGTATTGCACAAAAGCAAAAAATTGAATATAAATTCAAATCATATAACCAATTTGAAGTTCTTTGACTACAGTTATTCTGTGTCAGAAACCTATTGTGTGTCAAAACTTTAGTTACAATCCAAATTCAGACCTGTATCAAGCGTGAATATTGTGTCCATTTTGGCCCCAACTTTTCAGGGTTGGACATCTGCGGTCGTATCCAGCTGCGCTCAGCGAAGCAATTTATTTATATAATATTTCAATAATTGTGTACAGAAACTTTTATTTAAGGAAGCCTTTACTATTAAAAATTATGATAAAGTACTGTTCTAGTTGATCATTTTGTCCTCTGTTCATGGAATACAAAAAGGTTAAGCTGTATTTGATCCCAAATGAGTTACACATTATTGGATAAAGTTTTTATTTTGTGGTTTCCTCGAAATTGTTGGAAAAGTTATGCTCATGAGTTGATACAACTATTTGCAAAGTAATTTACAATGTACATGGAATACTGGGGATAGCCAGTTCTTTACCTCAATATTTTTATAGCATAATTTTGTATTACAGGTTGGTAGTTTTTGTTTGTCAGAGACAGAATCAGGGTCTGATGCTTTTGCAATGAAAACCTCAGCAGTGAAAAATGGAGATTACTATACAATAAATGGAACAAAGATTTGGATAACTAATGCTGAACATGCTGGCTTGTTTATGGTGATGGCTAATGCTGACCCTACAAAGGTAAGTTTATAGAAAAACCTTAAGCAAATCCGGTGATAAGGTATATGTACAGGTTGCTTCTGATTCATTTCTTTACACTTTTACAATGTATAATGCTATATATATCTATTAAATTCTCTCTGATTATTTTGAAATATGTTAACATATACACAGATTATATTGGCTTGTCTAAAGTTAGATTGACACTTATACAAAGACTAAACTTTTTGTTAACAACTGCATATGCTTTTTAAGGCACATGCATTTACTTCACTATTATTACATTGAAATTCATAAGAATGTATATTTGTTGAAAGTAGGTATAGATTGATTGATAATTGCTTAATTAATGTCTAGTGTTTGAATATAGACTTAGAAAGTCAATTTGCAGTGTTTGAGTATTTGCTTTGAAAAGTAAATGCATGTGAACTCTGTTTGAAGGAATAATATTATAAACAAATGTTTTGCAAACTTTAGCACATGAAATAAAAACCATGAAAACAGCATGAAAATTTCATCTCCAAAGGAGTTTAGGCACTAGGTACAGATCATTTGTGATAACATTTAAAAAAGCTGACATTTAATTAGGAGTAGTAACAAACAAGAGTCATTGGGATTCATATGAACCTCTTTCTGAAAACAAAAAATACAATTAAAAACTTTTAAAGTCAGGGTCCAGATTGAAGTTTGACTATTAAAGTCAGAGCAGCAGGCCTAAGACATACAATATCCCCATCCCCACGAAGACATCTGGGCTACAAACATGAGAAACATACGAATGAACTTGATGAATACTGTCATTTGATTTTCAATTTAAATATTTTTATTGAATTTAAGTCCAAACAGTAAACTGTTACCAACACATTGGTAAACCTATAAAATATAAAAGGAGCACAATTCAGTTGCTTCCTTTATTTATCATGATGGATGACATGTTTGTTTCATCGATCACATGTTTGTTTCAGGGTTATAAAGGAATAACCACATTTCTTGTAGACCGAGATACTGAAGGTTTATCACTTGGTAAGAAGGAAGACAAACTTGGTATAAGAGCAAGTAGCACATGTCCTGTTCATTTTGACAATGTTAAGGTAATTATATACATGAGTAATTAAATCCCTGAAAATGTAAACTTATGTTGTGTTAACATGGTTTATTATATAGATGATGGTGATTTATATGAATTTCCCATTGTGATAAATTCCGATAATCTCACATGTGAAATAACTCGTTTATTTTCACTCTCGAGACTCTCCGCGCCATTTACGGGAACTACTTTTTCACACACAAAGACACAAGATGCAATGTAAGAAGCACAACTGTGTATAAATAATAAATGTACGATAAAAACAACAACCGTTTCTTTTGTAGTGCTTAACTAGCTTGAGTTCGATTAAAATAAATAATATCATTATAGATGTCGATATAATTAGGTATAAATAGTGTGCTATTTACATCGTATGGTCCCGTTATGTGTTGTGCCGAATTCGGAGCAAATACGAATATTAACACGGCTTCTTATGGTGTGAATACACAAAAGATTGTAAACACAACAATTGTTCGGACAATTTAATGAACATTTTCAGTTAAATATCTTTTCAACGAAATTATGTCCTCTTTTGGTAAATAACAAGTATTTTAGAGTTATGATCGTCTTTTAAAGCGAGAAAAACATCACAAACATGCAATTAACAAATAAAATACGGCATAATAAATGGTATGATAGTTAGCTTCCTTTCACCCTCCTTCTTTTCTATAAAATAAAAATCGTCTGCTTTTTCTGAAGATTCCAAAATGTCTGATTATCTTGATTCCTATACTGCTGCCATAGTAGGTCAAATTCTTGAACAAAATGATTTCGAGTTAGAAGCAGTGGAATTACCAGATTTTAATATGATAGCTAGAATTTCACAGGAAAATGTTGAAGGGGCTCAGATTCAACAAGCAAATAACAAATCAACAGAAAATTCAAGATTTCAAGACATAAGTTATGAAGAAATCGACAATTTTCTTGAAGCCACCACAAATGAAAATACAAAAAGAAAAACAGTGTCTGACATTAAACTCTTTAAAAAGTATTTAGAGGAGTCTGGTGAAACAGATGACAGAAAAAATGTCTGCAGAACATCTAAATCAAAAACTTTGCACCTATCTCTTGGCTGTGAAAAAAAGGATGGTAACCAATATGAACCATCAACACTGAAAGGCTTCATGTGTAGTGTAGATAGGTATCTTCAACAGAAAAATTCAACCTTAAGTATTACAAAGGGTCCTGAATTTGAAAAATGTAGAAAAGTTCTTCAGGCCAAACAAAAACAGTTAAAAAGTTTGGGGTATGGAAACAAGCCTAATGCTTCAGATGAGTTGACTGACTCAGACATTGATAAACTTTATGAACATGATTTATTAGGAACACATGCTCCTTTACCTTTAACTAATTTGTTACATTTAACTCTAACTCTTGTTCTTGGGATGCGTGGTGGTAAAGAGCAAAGGGATCTAAACTTTGGAGATATTTGTATTGGAGTAGACTCCCAAGGTGGGGAATATCTCTATATACGCACTGATCGTCAAACCAAAACAAGACAAGGAAATGATCCTAACAACATGAAACAAATCAAAACAAAAGCCTGGGCCCATCCTGATAAAAACTGCTGTCCTGTTAATGCATTCCGCATTTTCCAAAGTAAAAGACCAACAAAGATGACAAAAGATGACTCACCTTTTTTCCTTCCCATTAATCATGTTGTCAATAGGCAATATTATCATGCATGGTTTGAAGAGTCACCAATGGGAATTAATACTGTATACTGTGGATTCATTAATATTCGTTGGATACTAATTTTCGTGGATTTCGTGGTTACAGGGGAACCACGAATTTAAATGTTCAACGAATTACAAATTGTCTAAAGGAATGTATCCAGACTTTGCAAAAACCACGAAATTGAATATCCACGAATATGCAAGTTTTCCTCAATCCACGAAAATTGGTACCCACGAAAATAAATGAATCCACAGTATAGCCTAACTTCAAAAATGGTGAATGCTTGTCCAACAATCCTTGGTGAAAGGAAGCTAACAAATCATAGTGCCAGAAAACATCTTATTCAAAAACTACAAGACAAAGGTGTTGAAAATGCCCAAATAATGCAAATAAGTGGCAATAAAAATGTTGCAAGTATCAACAGTTACTCCAGGCTAAATGAGGGCCAACAAAGGCAGATTTCAGATGTCCTGAATGATACTACTGGAAAAAATGTAGGCCAGCACTACATACAACAGCTCATGAAATTGCCATTGTAGCACCAACTACAAGCACAGTATCACACCCATCTTGCAGTCAAACAATTGCACCAGTGTCCACTCGGATAATAGAATGTCCTCTTACTTTCAAGGGAACAACTACATCAATGGTGGAACATTTAACTTTTTTAGTTACTCTGGAAATGAGAAAAGACAACATGAAACTGATTCTCTTCCAGAACAGGCACCACAGAAGAAATTCAAAAGAATTCTTCCCTTAACCTTCAGTGATTCTGACTCTGATTAATAGTTGACATTCTGTTTATGACTATCTTTCTAATCCAAATTTCAATATTTAATACACAGGTTTAACAGTTTTACACCACTTCAAACAATGACAAAATGACATTTAGAAAATGACAATGTGTAATGTATCATAAGAGTGTATTTTTAATTTTATTTTGATTTGGGTGACTTGGCTCAATGTTAATAAAACACCAATTTTTGGTAAGATAATAATGAAACTCAATGTTCATCTTATTAAATATAAAAACAGCAGATTTTGTTTCGGGTAAATGTGAGTGTCAAGTAGTATTTAAATCAGAAAACAAAAAAATAAAAAGTAGACATTTAGAGGGCAACATTCATACATGTACATGTTTAGACTTCAACATACAGATGTAAACAAACTACATTGAATTATTATGCCAACCAGGCAATTAGGACAGGCACATGAATAAAATGTTCAATGTTACCCAGGTACACATGTATATCTTTTTTGGTAAACTCTTGGTATGAATAACATAAAAAACCAGACTATTTGTATTTCATGAATAATAAAGAACTTACCTTAATTCAACTGAAGAGACCAATGCCACAGACTCAACTTCATATAAATGTGTTACGAAACACTAGTCATACTATAGTGACATACATGTTATACATGTGTTTTCCTATTTTTCCTATTTAATCAACAGCTGACACACAGATAATTCACGGTCACCATAGAGACTTTGTCGTAGGAATTTCTTGTAATCCAAATCTTTCAATCGTTTCAATATTCACACCACAATAACACAAAATAAACTCAAACTTCCAGTTTTGAAAAAAGGCGGCATGGTTACTTTCACGACACACATCCTACGCTCATTTGAGACTTCCAACTGAAGATTTTCGCATCGACACTTAAAACTTATTGGTTAAATATGTCACACATCAACGATTAATACCCTAGATGCATTAAAAACAACTCTTCGATTCACAATAACTGCAAAATATGCATCAATCTTCTCGAGGTGACAATCGGAATTTGTCATTTTGACAGTTGTGTGCAGTACACATATATTCATACGCCAAAAAAAATCCCAGTGAAATCGACAATGAAGTGAATCCAAATATAAAAAAAAAATGGATTTGATATTCTGAATCTATATAATAAAAAGTATAACTAATCGCCGTATTTGAATATAAAAAATACAACAACGCGTGACCGAACGACGCATGGATTAAACAGGTGCGCAGCACGAGTTAAATCCATAGCGGTGTTTGGTCAAAAGTTGTCTTATTTTTGATATTCAAATATGGCGATTAGTTATACTATAACAATTTTCCTTTCCATTGTTATTCCTATTTTTACCTGTGGACCTGCTTTTGATTAAAATTGAACTGTGTGAACACTCAAGTCGGATGTTGTTTGGTTAATCAAATGGAAAATCATATCTTGTGAGCAGAATGCTGTATGATTTACCTGGATGACGGTATCAAATCGGATGGAAAATTGTATCTTGTCAGCAGAACGCTGTACGATTTACCTGGATGCTGGTATCAAATAGGATGGAAAATCGTACCGTGTAAACACACCTCAAAGTTGACACTGTCAAGATAATTATCAGCATAAAAACTAAACAAAGGAAAAAAAAATGTTATAAAATACTGATAGTTCTTGTCCTAATAGTAACTCGTGCAGAAAGCAATTGTCTTGATATGCTGGAAAGTGTGGGGTATAAACAATGGACTTTCAGTATTACAAATATTTTAACTGTAGCTAACATATTCATTAATTGATGCTTTATACTTTATAAAGGTTCCTGCCAGTAATGTTTTAGGACAGGTTGGAATGGGATACAGATATGCTATTGAGATATTAAATGAAGGAAGAATTGGCATTGCATCTCAGGTTTGTTTAAAATTTTATGTTTAAGTAAAATATAAGATTAACTGGTAGAAAGTAAAAAAGTTGTAGATGAATTTAATAGAGAATGTTTTAGATCTGCAGTTACAATGAATTGACAAAATCATTTAGAAATAACATGTTTACAATATAAAACACTTATGTTCTGTTTTGTTCTTTACAGATGTTAGGGCTTGCAGAAGGATGCTTCAATAACACTGTTCCATACACTAAAGAGAGGAAACAGTTTGGTAGAAGAATTTGGGACTTTCAGGTATCACCATGATTTTTTAATTACCTGGACTTACTATTAACGAAGTGTTGTGTCCTGCCTTTGCAGTAGGATAATCTTTTTACAATAATATAGTTTGTAAGATCTTATCAAATTAATTGGATAGTAAAAATAGTTATCCAACTGCTAGACCAAGATGCCAGCAAGGCAGCTTTTTTGATAATTCATATACCAGGCATGGTTTTACTAATGATATGGAATTGAGTCACTGAAATGTGCATTTTGCAACCCTCAAATGCCCAATGGACAGTACAATGTTATTTCTATTCTAATGTTATACTCATAAAATGTTTTAAAATAAAATGCTTGAATAAACAGAAACAGCTAGTTGCCAATAACCATCAACCATAGAATTGGCAACAGATGTCATCCAGTTAAGTGGTGTTAAATGTCACATTGTTTTAAAATTAATGATTTTTTTATCTACAGGCAATGCAGCATCAGATAGCTCATGTTGCAACTCAGATTGAGGCTTGTCGTCTGCTGGTATACAATGCTGCAAGAAGGAAAGAAGCAGGAGAACCATTTGTAAAGGAAGCAGCAATGGCAAAACTTTATGCTTCAGAGGTACTGGTTAAGCTGTTATAAATAATAAAAATTTGATTTATTTTTACTTGCTCAAGATGTACAATCCAAATCATTACTGGTATGTACCAATAACTTACTTTACAATTGACAGTTGTTGAAAAAAACAAAATTAGTTCAATAGTTGAAGAATAATGTAGATTAAAGGTTATTTTGCAGAGTTTATTGATGATTATTTTATACAATATGACTATGTTGAATTAACAGGTTACCTAGCCTATTATTAAGGATATAAGTTTAAGAGATTTTGAAATTGAATGAGCCTGATTTTATTGAGACTAAGTTTTATAATAATAATATTCTTTATTTAAAGAGGGTAACCCAATTAGTTTTCACTTATCTTACTTGGGGCCCTCATAAATTAAGTACAAACATAATAAAGTACATACAAATAAACATTAAAAACAATCAAGTAGTATATATACACAAGATTACAGTCGACTCCACTTAATTGCATACCGTTTAATAGCATAATTCGGTTAATTGAATAGTTTTCTCCTGCACAAAACCATTTCCCATTCATCTAATGTTAAATTGTCCGGTTATATGCATAGCTCTACAAGTGGTCAAATATTGGTAGAATATAAGAATTATAAAAAAAATTTTACTTTTGGGTCTAAGTATTTCTTAATTTTTGAAAAAATAAACAACCTCGAGCTAATTGTTTTAGAAATTTGACTAATTTGCTCTTTCCATGTAAGGTGTTGATCTATTTTAATTCCTAATACCTTTTGTGTATTCTCCATTTGAATAATTTTATTATCTATACTAACATTTATTTGCTTGTCAAATATATTTTTCCTCTGGGTAGTACCTATTAGCATGTGGGTTTTGCTGGATTTATTAACATGTTGTTCTTATTACACCAAATATTTACTAAACAGAGATCAGTATTTAATATTTTCGATAGAATGGATACTATTACCAGCACAGTGTAATATTGTGTCATCAGCATACATGTCAATTTGACTGTCAATATTTTCTAATGGTAAATCATTTATAAACAAAATAAATACATTCTTGAAACATTGTGCTTTGATCTAAGTTTTTAGAAAAACATTATCTTGATTGGTGAAGCTGTTGAATTATTGTGTATCCTTTCATATAATACCTGTTAGATTGCCTTGGTAGATTCATGTTAAAATTGATTGTTTTAGGTTGCCTCCTTAACGACAACAAAGTGTATTGAGTGGATGGGTGGTGTTGGATTTACAAAAGATTACCCCATAGAAAAATATTACAGAGACTGTAAAATAGGTAATATATAAAAATTTGAGAAAATAAGTTAGACAAACATTTCTCCTGAGTCATCCTTATGAAGTCTTCAAATGCACTGTTTGATAACCCACCAATTAACAAAAATAAACATGTTTGGTTGAAAATGGTTCTGTGGTTTCAGAGGATAAGATTTTCTTAAAGTTAACTCGACAACAACATAGACCAATTATTGCAATAGCTCACTTGGTCTATAGGGCCAGTCAAGCAAAACATGTTTTTACATCCATTACAAAAAGAAAAACAAATAGAATTGAGAATTGAAACTGGAAATGTGTCAAAGAGACAACAACCCAACCAAAGAGCAGAAAACAGCCCCTGGCAACCAAGGGGTCTCCAACTGAAAACATATTTCACCAATATTTGACAATAAGATATCTTGTCAAATAATATATCTTTTAATCAATATTAAAAGAAGGAGATGTGGTATGATTGCCAATGAGACAACTATCCACCCTAATTTACAACAAAACAATTTACAAAAAACAAATACCATATAGCGGATTATTTTTCGCTTATTTTGGCGGATAAACGAAAATCGCGAAATAAATTCCGTGAAAATTTATGCATACGTTGGGTATTTTCTAATAGCTTAAGTGTTTTGTGAACGATCTATTTTTCCCAGTCGGCAAGTCAATAGCGGTATATATTAGTTTAAACAACATAAACGCCAAAAGGGTATTGTACTTACATGTATTTTATAAAATGACTGTCAGATGTGTATACCCTTATTAATAAGTGTCAATTAGAATAAGAGTGTAAGGTACTCTGATCAGATAATTACCCTTATTAATTAGTGTCAAACTATACAAGAGTTGTAAACACTCATAATAATTTTGTAACCTAATTAGTAAGTACATCAAAGGTCCGGTCAATTTCGTAACTAATCAACCGTAAAATTTACAAGACGTTTGAATACCTGTAACAAATATCTAAGTCATCGGTATTCTATTTATTAACTGTATCAGAATATAATCAATTAATACAACGTCATTTAGGTAAAAACAAATCATTTTACCATAACAATAAACACTTACTTGTTTGTCAAGTTTTACAACTTTTTAACTGCAACAATTTCAGTATCCGCCAAAATATTTAATTGGGATTTGAGAATCCACCAAAATAAAAACCGCCAAAATTTTTCGTATACTTTGTTGCCCCTAAATCGTGAAATTTTACACCCGCGAAAATAACCCGCTATACAGTATTACAGACATGCACTGAACCACAGGCCCCTGACTTGGGACAGGGGCATAAAGAATGTGGCATGGTTAAACATGTTTGTCAGCACTCAACCCTCCCCCTAACCGTGGACAGTGGTGTTACAGCACAAAATGAGAACGAACTATAAAAATCAGTTGAAAATGGCTGAACTCATCAGATCTATACAAAGCAGAAAAACATCTAACAAAAACACAGACCGTATGTGGCAGGGTATTTATACATCCCTAACAACAAAAGACACAGTTCAGATCTGAGAGTACTGACAGTTACTGACAGCTAGTTCAAAGCCAATAACAACTAATAAAAGATATTATGTATCTAAGACTAATATATCAATCAGTACAAATCCTACATCCAATGGATTAAGTGTCCACATCCAACATCCAAGATTGTTATACATACTTTTAAATAAGTACCTTAAAAAAAAAAGTTGGTGTTCCCTATTTATTCCAATAAAAAATTAAGATTGTGATTTTATGAGTTTTGTGCAAATTATTGATGTTACCTTAGTATTTTCTATCATTAAGGGTACCTTGTACAAAGAAGATATATATGTGACATCTTCATTCTTTTTTAGGGACTATATATGAAGGAACGTCAAACATTCAGTTGAACACTATTGCTAAATGTATCGAAGCTGAATCTTGATGGGATGGGGAACATTTGAATTTGCCATCAGATTTGCATCATGACATGGCATTACAGTGATTATGTGTAACAGAAAAAAGACTGTGTTGCATTTTATCTGTGACTGAATCTCTTAAATAAAGTAAAACTGTGATATGTATGTTTGTGTATAATGCTACAGTAAATCTATTTCATGGTGTGCAAAAAACAATAAAGTGTTTGCTTGTTTTATTTGTTGACTGTGAAATCAGTATAATATTTGTTTAATAGCCATTGAAAGGGAATAGTTGTTATTATGTGTTAATCAAATCATGGAACAAGTAACCAAAAGGATGAATGACCAATTTGGTTCAATATTTACAATATCTATTAAATTCTAATGATGATTTCAAGTAAGCTTACTTATATTTCATTTATATACAAAATACTCTAGATTTTTAGAAGTAAATGCATTTATATGTAGAACTCATTATTTGAACAATAATGTGAATTATAATTTTCTCAGGCTCTTCAATGCATTTAGAATATGTATTTCAATTGTTGTAGAACTGAAGATAAAATTTTACTATTCAAAGATGAGATAGATTTAAGTTAAATGATAACCTTGTATTTATTAAAATTGCAACAATATATCTCAGGAAAAGAATTTGTAACAAACATATGAAGTATAACTCCATGTGATGAACCAACGCCGTTGTGTTTACATTCTATAGAGTCTCCTTAGTAAGCAGGGTTGTCAATATATGAAATAGTTTAAATCATGACATGGCATTACAGTGATTATGTGTAACACATTTCTAGTCAAATTTCAATTGTCTAATGTTAAATTAATGGGTATTATTTTTACTATTTATTTGTAGAATTTGTTACCAGACACATGATTAAAGCATTCACATTTTTATGGATTTTTAAGTAAATTGATGTCAATTTCATCTACTGATAGAGGTTTGAGCCATTAAACAGAAAAACTAAAGAGAAATTGTTGTTAACAAAATACATTTACTTGATCAAAATATGAAGAAGATATTTCCCAAAAAATGAAAATTCCTAAAACAACATCATTGATTACCAAGGTCTTCTAAATGACAGAAAACTAGCATTTTCTTGGATATTTGATTTCGTGGTTGACAAAGTCTGCATACATTCCTTTAGAAAATTTCTAATTTGTTGAAGATTTTAATTCGTGGTTCCTCTGTACCCATGAAAATTGGTCTCCGATAAATAATAATGAATCCAAAGTAATTAAAACAGTTAAATGAACATTTTGGATGTTTAAAAATTGTTAGTAATTTGAAAAGGGTTGAGTTAAATTTGTAAATACTATTGATCTGAAGTTCTGTCTTAGTAGAATCTAAAGACATGTTTTAATCAAAGAAAAAAGTGAGTAAATATGTAAAAAATACAACAAATAAAAGAAGTTAATGTTTAATTATCAAGTTGACTTTGATTCAAATCATGCATTAATATTTTAACTGGTGATTTAAATATTTATTTTTTTTCTAACTATATTTTTCTGATTATTTTTTTTCTCTGTCAGATTTGAGTTATGGTAATTAAATGTACTGTATTTATTGTAGGGAAAATAAGGCATTTTTTAATGGCAACAACAGAAACCATTCATGTTTAATTTGTTCTCAGCAACTGGTGATTTTGATTTTAATTTTTTTAATATTCATTCAAAAAATTGTTTAAGAGATGTTTTTATCCATATTACTAAATTTAGAGGTTTAGCTACTATAAAATTATGTTTTATCCACCATTTTCTTCATAATGAAATGCCTGTACCAAGTCAGGAATATGACAGTTGTTTTCCATTCATTTGATGTGTTTGAGCTTTTGATTTTGCCATTTTATAAGGGACTTTCCGTTTTTGAATTTTCCTTGGAGTTCTGTATTTTTGTTATTTTACTTTTTTTACAGCTTGTTTAAGGTATAAACCTTATCCTATACTTTTCTGGGTTCCACTGGAACAATTTTGGTTTTAATATCGATGTTTTTTTATAATTTCTTGACATAAGTAGAAATGAATTCACCACTTGAATGAAAAATAATTTCTGTTGTAATAATATGTTATTGTGTGTGTGAATTTTTAATGTTGTTAGATATTTTTTTCCCGCTGAATCATGTATTTGACAAAAAATAGATAAAAGAGTACAATGTAATAATGTGTTTGTTATATTTATGGAAGTTTGACACAATATTTTGAATAGCAACCACAAGGGTATTGATATATTGACACTTTGACTTCTCTTATTTGGCTTCCGGTTAGATATTTTGAATGTCTTAATAGGTGGGCTATATTGCAATACCCGTGTCCATCCATTGTCAAACAACTATTTTCAGCCCTTTTTACCCAAAAACTATTGAACAGAATGACTTCATAATTGGGCAACAGCTTGACATTACAGGGTTGTAATGTGTCATCACTTTTCGGATCTGTCAGATGCTTACTTGCTGGTTACCTTTACTTTGAATTTTTCAATATGTTGAGAATAAATTTAAATTTTTCTTGCATATTTTTCCAAAACTACAGTATAATGACTTCGTATTTGGTCAGCAGCTCGACAGTGATAAGTTGTTATTTGTGTGTGCTTTGCATATCTGTCAGGCACATATTCCTGTTTAAGACACGTTGCTTTTCTTGTTTAACATTTTGTTAGATTATTCTGATATGTTTGATAAAAACATACACCAAGGCCAGTGATACCACATACAAAGACTTCATTGGTGTGGTGCATCTTAAGATGAAAAAAAAAACCAAACATACAAACAACAAACTGAATGCATTCAACTTCATAAAGAACTATAAATGACCTCTGAATTTGAAAAATAAATATGATAAGCATTAGCTAAATGGAATAGAATGGTAATAGGTGAACTTATTGTGCCACATTTATCATCTTGCACTACACTGAAAGTTTGTGTTCTTGTGAGATGACAAAAAAAAAAAAGAATAAATGGTGACTTTGTCAATGATTTGCTGAGTTCCAATATTAATAGTTACACAGTGTGCTAGTGACCTAATTCGATATATATGGGGTCAGTAAATTCCAGATGAGGTGAGAGCGAAGCTTGAATCCCATATGGAATTTAAACAATGATATTCCCAGAAATGTACAGCAGGTAAGATAAGTATGATTACAGCAGGTAAGATAAGTATGATTACAGCAGGTAAGATAAGTATGATTACAGCAGGTAAGATAAGTATGATAACTTGTACATAAATTAAGGATAAACTGCATACAAATTTAAAACAGATTGTTACTGAACAAGATACTCCTCTTCTTTCCGACTTGTTCCTTTATTCAAATGAGGCTGACTTTATAAAACAATTTCTTAGGAATAATGAAAAGAAGCTAGCATTATCCTTTAACTTCACTTTCCGCTATATAGATGATGTCCTCTCACTAAATAATTCGAAATTTGGTCACTATGGTGAACGCATCTATCCCATCGAGCGTGAAATAAAAAATACAACAGATGTGAAGTCTGTCTCATATCTTGACTTACATCTAGAAATTGACAATGATAGTCGGTAGAGAATAAAACTTTACGACATAAAGATGATTTCAGCTTCCTAATTGTGAACTTTCCATTTCTTTGTAGCAGCATTCCAGCAGCGCCTGCATATGGTGTAAATATTTTTCAATTGATACGATATTCCAGGGCTTGCATTTCCTACCATGATTTCCTTAAGGGAGGGTTGCTGCTCACAAGGAAGCTATTAATCCAAGAGTTCCAAGTGGTGAAGTTGAAATCATCCCTTCGAAAATTTTACGGGCACCATCACGAGTTAGTTGAGGATAGATATGTTCCAAAAGTCTTATCCACAGTCCTGTCCACTTTTCCCTGAATGTGACCTACCGAATAAGACTTGTCACCAGATTTGTTCTTACCTGAGCAACACGATGGGTGCCACAAGTGGAGCGGGATCTGCTAACCCTTCAAAAGCACCTGTGATCACCCCCGGTTTTTGGTGGGGTTCGTATTGCTCGGTCATTAGCTTTCTATGTCCTGTTTTTTGTACTGTTGTTTGTCTTTTGGTCCTTTTCTTTTTTTGCCATGGCGTTGTCAGTTTATTTTAGACTTCGAGATTGAATGTCCCATTGGTATCTTTCGCCTCTTTTTGTCCATTATTAAGGATGATTCATAAAGTTTCTATAAAACTGCATTGTTATAGAGACTTCATATATGATTGTCATAAAAGCTTCAGGGTTGACACACAAGACCTGAATTAATTTCAAACTAACCATTTGACCCTTCATGTGCCTATAACGCTAGGTACCTAAATTGAACCTATTTTGGCAGTTTTTTCAGCTACGTTTATTCAAGATCCAGACAAAACTTGTCAAAAGTTTACATATTATTTTTCTTTTGTAGATGTATCCTCTTTTAATATATAGTTCCACAAATTTAATTTTGAATCTATACTGAATCATAGAAAAAAAAGGGTTTGAATCGACGTCCAAGCGATCCAATATTATTCAATGAGGTACCTAAATTGCACTCCTGCTTAAATTCACATCCGTAAAAATGGAATAAATGATGTTTTGTTTATTTCTTCACATTTTAGAAAAAATTTAACCATAGTCCATGCTTACTATTCATTTTGCGAGACATAATTTTATTGCTCATTTTTAAAAGTTGACTTTTTGTGAACGTCACCTGAGACGATTCAGACAATTTCACTTTTTTCATACTTCATCTGTTGATATTTAATGTGATCTTTTTGTGCATATTTGAATAAATATAGCTATTTCCAAAGGCGTGCATAATGGTAAATCATAAAAATACAAATTAATTAGTCTCAAAGAAAACTTTTAGGTTTTCGCTGCTTTTTTGAATTTTCCTTGGAGTTCGGTATTGTTGTTAGTTTACTTATGAATTTGGTTATGTCTTAGGGTCAGATAAGAGTCAATTACTGATCCGCCATTGCGTGATTTCTAATCACTTAAAATAACTTGTAAGCATATTTTATAGGAGTACCACAACGGGTGTCACATGTGGAGCAGGATCTGCTTACTCTTCCAGAGAACCTACGATCACCCCCTTTTTTGTGGGGTTCGTTTTCTTCAGTCTTTAGTTTTCTATGTTTTGTTTACAATTGTTTGTCTTTTTATCGTTTTTCGTTCTTTGCCTTCGCGTAATCGTTTGTTTTCGACTATTGAATTAGTATATTACTTTTGTATCTTTCGCCTATCTTTTACGCATAAAGATCATTCCTCTGTAGCCCTTTCATGAAAATCTTCTGATAAAAAACATGTTTAGTCGTGAATAATTCAGTCTAGTTGTGATGAATGCCAGGCGTCAAAATATTAATTTCTTAACAATTCCTGTTAAGCCATAAAATACTTTTGATAAACTTGGTTTGCTAATGCCCAGTGGGGTGAAAAGACTTCTATCGATTTTGTAGTCACTGGTTCTAAGGTCAAATAATTGAAACATTTTTGACCATTTAGTCTCTAGGGTAATGGTATGCTCTCTTGTGTTTTTTCACGTAGTATTTCTATCTATGTGCCATTATTGCTTGTGTTTGTAATTATTGTGATTAAGGGTCTGCGGCTAATTTCACCAACAATCTTACAGAAAAAAAAATACTCGTAAGTCATGAGCATTTCAGTATAACTTACGATCTATTTTTGTCGTAAGATTTTTTTGTGAAAAGAGCCCCTAGATCTTTAAATCAGCCAGTTTGGTCTATGAAGTTCGTCACTTTTTCTGCAATGTTGCTCTTGTCTGCTCGCTGTTTTTGCTGTCTTATCTGTCACTTAAAGTTTGTGTTACATATACCGACTTCTTCAGCAATTTTATGGTACATAATTTCATGCGCACATTTTATAGCAGGGACACTCAAGGATGAATTGGTGAGGTGTTTTCTGTGCTCCACATTCGTATGATTCAGTGGCTTTAGTTTGGCTAACTTGATTTTTGTAGTAATTGAGTTCTGAGAATCCTGTTCTAGGCTGAGCAAACAAGTTATGAACGCATGAAAATTTTAAAGTGTTGTTTTCATTTTTTAAAGTATCTTTTGGTTGAGAAGTCACTAAAGATTTGTAATTAATGGTCGGCATCTTATCCTAAAGGTTCCATCCTATATCTATACAGTTATTCGGTGTTTACTGTTGCTCTGCTTGGATTTTACTTATCGACTCAAGTACAGTGATTTTGTCTGTGTTATTTGTGTTTCCCTCAATCTGCATTCAAATTAAGATTCTATAAGGTTGATATTTATTCCTGATTTCTTTGTATGACAGTTGTTTTCCATTCGTTTCATTGGTTGATATAGTCTAACGTTTGATTTTGTCAATTTTTATAGACTTTCACCGATTAGAATTTACCTTAGACTTTGGTATATTTTGTTAATACTTTTTTCTCCATATATGATGCTTAACAGAAGATCTTACCAATTTGGCTTAGTAGAGAATTTGTCGTACATGTCTTCTTCGTCATTATACCTTATAAGTTGAGTTATAGGTTCTTGTACAGATTTCGATTTAATCTTTGGTATCTCTGATTGTTACTCCATCTATTCTTAGGTCTATTGCATTACTCCAGCTTCTACTTCTACGATCTTCTACTGTTTCTTTACCAGATGTTGTAGACATATATATGCATAGAGCTAATGTCTTTCTCTACACTCTTTTTGGTATTTTGTCTACCTTAAATATTGAATAGATAGACAGAAACTGTCTTCAAGACAAGATCTGCCACAATTTTTAACTTTAATTATATCGACAAAACAGAAACTTTTCGCGGTGAAAATGATCAGCAAAACGCAGGGTTACACAAACAATAAAATAATATCACAGATGTTATCACTTAAATTCTTAAAAGAGACTCAGTTATTTCCTTTAGTTTTATGGCGGATTTGACAACTTCAGCGTTTTTTTTTTTGAAACACAAAATCTGTAAACATACAATTCAAATGATCAACAATGCCAAATCTATAAAACAATTAATTCACTCTTTTTAGAATGGCTTAAATGAAGATTTTGTTTATCAAATGTAGTATTTCTAACCGAGTTGCGACTCATTGCTAGACGTCGAACTCGACTTGTTATAATTCATGATAGATATAATACTGTTCACGCCAGCAGCCGGTTGTACGAACGTGGCATTAGCCTAATGGGTCATTTAGTCTTCATTAAGCCTTTATGATGCATTAGGCTAATGAAGATTTAATGACTCATTAGACTAATGACACGTTCTTACAACCGGCTGCTGGACGTCAATAACACATTATAAATTTTGTGCATCTAAAGATCTTTTCTGAATTAACTTCATCAGAAATGCTATTTCGGTTAAAAATAATGTACAGTCGAACCCCGTTGTGTGCCAAAATTTGTTTGCTAATTACTTCATTACCTTTAAGATTCTACTATATTTTAGTCAGTATATCAAAGGTCAAGGTCAAAGATCTCTAAATAGACTGAAAAGTTTAGATCAATCAGTTAAACGCATCAATTGACTCCTTAAAGGAGTTCGTGCGCTTTAATTACGACTTTTGACAACTTGTATAGTGTTTATGTCTATTATAATCTTATCTTTGAAAACTTTAATGATTGATTGATCGAATGATTGTTGGCTGCTTAACGTCAAGTGACAAAAAAATTACTTATAAAAATAAGGATGTGGTATGATTGCCAATGACAACTATTAACCAGAGTTCAAATGAAGTGGGCATATGCAATAATAGGTCACCGTACGGCCATCAACAATGAGAAAAACGCATACCGTATAGTCGTCTATAAAAGGCCCCGACATGAAAAATATTCAGTGGCTCTTTTCACAAAATATCTTACGACTAAAATTGATCGTAAGTTATACTGAAATGTTCATGACTTACGAGTATTATAATGAGTCGCAGGACCGTATAATGAAACATGAACACGTCCTGCTTTGTAATAGACCGAAACGCGGAGTAGGATTTTTACTTGCTAGCTGATCACAATTAGCTTTCTGACCATTATCTTGAAAACTGTAAATAGTTGAACAACTATTGTAAATAGGAAAAATGATGAGCAATACATCAACGATCAATAAAATTGCTAATAATTATATAATATGTAGTTATATGTTTTTACAGAACGGAAATGTTTTATAGACATGATAAATATATAGTTATTATTTATTTTGATTTCTGTAGTCTCTCATAATTCTTTATAGAATGGCACTTGTATTTTGATTTATAAAATTACTGTTTTATTCAATGTATATATTATGATGAGTGTATTACATGTATTACAAGTGGTGAGACTTAAATAAAATATTGAATCTATAATAATTATACTAAATTCTTTATTTATAGAGGGTAACTCAATTAGAACTAGTCTAATTTTCATTGAGGCTCTCAAACAAAATACATGTATACAGTTAACACTCATACATAAAAATACAACATTTATAAATAAATAGATAATCTTTATTTCAAGAGGATAATCCCATTAGTTAAAACTAATCTTCCTGAGAGTCATGAAATTAATATAATAACATATTCATAAAGTACATACAATATTATAATGATATATACAAAATATACAATTTTATATAGATATTAATGAAAAAGCATATCAATCTACCTTTTTCATGAAAAAAATTGAACATTTTGTTTTAAAAGATACAAGTATATTACTCATCTTTATTTCATTCGGTAAACTGTTCCATATTTGAGAACCAGAATAATATAAAAGTTTTTTATGAATGTTAACTGTATACATGTATTTTGTTTGAGGGCCTCAATGAAAATTAGACTAGTTCTAATTGAGTTACCCTCTTTACTATTATTAAATCAAACCCGAACTACTACACCACTAAATCGAGCCGGTTTTTATTTTATGTTCTCAGTTTGCCATGTTGAAACCCTTTATAATTATTATACAGTATGGGTGTCGCTCATAGTTGAACCGGGTCGTATGGTGACCTATAGCTGTTTACAATCTCGACTTTTCAGTGTCTTTGGTGGAGTAGTTGTGACGTCTCGTGGGTAATTATATATAAGTACCTTGAATAACATACGAAATGTTCCAGTTAGGTAATTAATTATGATTTAGATATTAACTATGACAAGAACAATAATATGTGTGATGTATGTACGATAAATACACAATAAATGTTGAAATAAAGATGATTAATGCTATTTTATTTGGTGGGACTGGGGACAATAATTTGCATGTAGGTTACTGAATAACGCTTGCAGTCTATAATTAATTAGCATGTGTAAAACATAAGAAAGTAAAGGAAACATTATGTTTTTGTCTTGATTTACCACTGTGATACCATGCAACGGTATTGGTCGTCAACATAATAGAGAAATTTATCCAAACCGAAACTTGACTTAAATTATCAAGTTAAAACATGCAAAACTGCCTGAAAATGCGCAATACGCATTTTATCACAACGCTCGGAACATAAAGCAATATTAATGATAATGCCTAAAATATTTTCCCGCACTCAAAGATGTCATCGGAATACTATTGGAACACAATCTCCATATAGGTGATGATCCTATTATTGAGTAGGAAGTTTCCCCCTCCCGTGACATGGGGCTGAATAATTAAAAATGTTCTGTTAAAAATTGGACCAGTTGTTGAAAGTCCTTTAAACATCTCGGAATCTATAGAATGTGATAGTTAAAAACTGAAGCTGAAACAAGTTTTAATGTTCTTAGAAATGATATTTACATCTTTCAGAACTATATAAATTGAAACATGATGTTTTTTCTATAATGAAGCTGGTTTTGCCGAAGGGGCCCGGGAGCATTGCCTCCGAATCATCCCTTTATTACCAAATTTAAAAAAAAATATATATATCCACATTTTTTTATCAAGTTCTCACTGTCGAATCAAGTTTGCTTTCCTATGTTTTTAATATACTCCTTCCTCCTAAATATTTTTGTAACAATATTTTTATGTACATACCTGCGAAAACAAATCATACTAAAATACAAAAAAAAGATAATATAACGGTTTATGACAATTATTAAATAACAGTTTTAAATAATTTGAAATTTCTATTTTGTCGATTTAACGAGAAATCAGTTCTGGACCATATTTTTACTTTTTAAAATCTTCTATTGTTCAGTTTAACCAGATACATATAAATGTCTTCTGTTTAACTTTCGTGTTTCTGAAAGATTAACAGATTTGAGTGGTATGCCCTCAAGCATTTTATTCACAAGCAAAAAACCGGAGAAAACATGGTCATATCGGTATCGGTTTTGTGAATTACACAACTTCGTGAAAATGGAGGACACCGAAGGAAATCAGAACAACAACGAAAGCGAAAACAATGAAAACGAAGAAGATATTGACTTTGATTCAATGGGAAAGCAGGAGTTAGAAAAACATTTAGTGGTTGCTGCAAAAAATGGCAGAATAGAGAGAGTCAAGCAACTGTTACAAAGAGGAGCATCACCTGATGCCAAGGAGTATAACAGGAGTCTGTTTTATGCTTCTGAGAACTACAACACACCTCTACAAAACGCTGCATCGGGAGGCTTTCATGAATTGACACAGGTTCTTATAGAAAATGAAGGTATATACGATTGAATGCTTTTTAAATTGTGTAAATCTATACTCAAATAATTCATTCTTACAGTTATTTTAAACAGGTTCTGTAAATTTGCACAGGTTGGGACCATTGACTCATCCAAATATGTTTATTTAACAGGTTAAGAACGGCATTTACCATCAAACATCTCATTTTCTCTATGCATTACCCTTAGCGTCAAATATTCTTTTTAATATTGTATTGTTAGGCTCACACAGGTATTTTATTTAGCAGCGCTACATGTACATTGTATCTGATATATACATTGATATATGACATAGGTGGAGAGGGGAGACATGTATAAGCACAGTATAACAGGAAATAAAATGGCCATTTCACTATGAACTAAAAATCGAAATAATAACTTGCACATTTCTTTTTTCTTTAATTTGCATAAAACCTGGGGAAAAGTGAGCTTCCAAGTTCCAGTATGAAAACACATGAAATGAAAACTGTAAACATGTTGCACAAAATACACTCTACCACCCGCCTATACCATTACATTAATTTGTAGCCACAAACAGAGAAAAATATTTATTGTTTACAATATTTGATCAAAAACTATTGTTAATTGTCAAGTACATGTAGGTAACCCCATCCTAATGGGATGTAAATGTAAAGTGCTAAAAGTCTTAATTTCATATTGATTTTTTTTCAGTGAACATATTCAAAAGAGCATTTGCAATTGCTTAAAACTAATAAAAATACTAGCAACTTTTGGTTAAATAATGTTACAGAAATGTCATAAAAGTTGTTAGATTGATCCCTCTGAAATATCTTAAACAATCATGTATCCAGAAAATTGGTAAAATCAAAGTTGTTGCCTGTAAATTTTCATTTTGTTTTTGCACAGCTATAATATATACATAAACATAATATACATTCAGTGTGATCAGGCTAATTATACATGATATACTGTTCATGAATGCCCTATCAGGGTATAAAAAGTTATCTCAATTTTTAAATGAAATTTCTGTTTCTCATTGAATATACATGTATGGAAGAACAATCATAAACTTTGAAGACATAATTCAGAAGTACAGCTTCCAGACATCCAAAGAAAGTTGAAATTTTGTATACATACTATTCATTCAATTTTTCTTTATATTTCATGTTGAGTATTATCAACCAATTCCAGATATTAATTCAGAAACTGAAATTTCTTTTGAAAATGTTAATAGACAAAGGTAGATAACTCAATGCTAAAATTATAGATTTACTGACTCCCTGAATTGAAACTACCCCAACACCCTTTCTTCCCCCAAAAAATGAAAATGAGCATGTCTAGTAGCACACGACTTGAGAGTTTGAAAATATTGGACTAATCAAGAGATTGTACTAAAAGCTTACATGATCGATCTCTTGGACAATTTTTAGCTCACCTGACCCAAAGGGCCAAGTGAGCTTTTCTCATCACTTGGCGTCCGTCGTCCGTTAACTTTTACAAAAATCTTCTCCTCTGAAACTGCTTGGCCAAATTTAACCAAACTTGGCCACATTCATCATTGGGGTATTTAGTTTAAAAAATGTGTCCGGTGACCCAGCCAACCAACCAAGATGGCCGCCATGGCTAAAAATAGAACATAGGGGTAAAATATAGATTTTGGCTTATATCTCTGAAACCAAAGCATTTAGAGCAATTCTGACAGAGGTAAAATTGTTTATCAGGTCAAGATCTATCTGCCCTGAAATTTTCAGATGAATCGGACAACCCGTTGTTGGGTTGCTGCCCCTGAATTGTTAATTTTAAGGAAATTTTGCCGTTTTTGGTTATTATCTTGAATATTTTTATAGATAGAGATAAACTGTAAACAGCAATAATGTTCAGCAAAATAAGATCTACAAATAAGTCAACTTGACCAAAATGGTCAGATGACCCCTTAAGGAGTTATTGCCCTTTATAGTCAATTTTTAACCATTTTTCGTAAATTTTATAATCTTTTACAAAAATCTTCTCCTCTGCAACTACTAAGACAAATTTATCCAAACTTGTCCACAGTCATCATTAGGGTATCTAGTTTAAAAAATGTGTCGGATGACCCCGCCTGCGAACCAAGATGGCCGACATGGCTAAAAAATAGTACATAGGGTAAAATGCGGTTTTTGGCTCATATCTCTGAAACCAAAGCATTTTGAGCAAATCTGACTAGGATAAAATTGTTCATTAGGTCAAGATCTATCTGCCCTGAATTTTCAGACCAATCAGGCAACACGTTGTTGGGTTGCTGCCCCTGAATTGGTAATTTAAAGAAAATTTTGCAGCTCTTGGTTATTATCCTGAATATTATTATAGATAGAGAACTGTAAACAGCAATAATGTACAGCAAAGTAAGATCTACAAATAAGTCAACATGACCAAAATTGTTAAGGAGTTATTGCCCTTTATAGTCAATTTTTTACAATTTTCATAAATTTTGTAAATTTTTGTAAATTTTTACAAAATATTTTCCACTGTAACTACTGGGCCAAGTTCATTATAGATAGAGATAATTGTAAGCAGCAAGAATGTTCAGTAAAGTAAGATCTACAAACACATCACCATCACCAAAACACAATTTTGTCATGAATCCATCTGTGTCCTTTGTTTAATATGCACATAGACCAAGGTGAACGACACAGGCTCTTTAGAGCCTCTAGTTGTTTCACCTTGACGCAGTAAAAAAGTGAGTTTTAGGTATGCTGTTACCGGCAGCAGAGGCATCAACAATGTATAAGTTTGTTTATCAGGTCAGTTTATTGGTAACCACTAGTGATAGGTCAATGATACATAGTATGCAGTTGTATTAGCATAGGCATATCTCATTTCCATGGAGATTATTTGGCCCAGCTCCCTCAGTCATGGTCTATTGACTTTGAAACTTTTGATTATTTTACATGTATTAGTTTGTGATTAGGTCAGTTTATGGGGAACCACTAGTGGTAGGTCAATGATAGTTGGTATTCAGTTCAGTGTAATGTTGTTTTAGCATTTGAATGTCTCTTTTCCATGAAGATTATATTGCCCCACCACCTCATCATCATGATCATGGGTCATTGACTGAAACTTTTACATTGTTTACAAGTTAAATTTTGTGTTAAGGTTAATGTAAAGTGAACCACTTATGATAAGTCAATGGTATTTGGTATGCAGTTCTATAAGCATGGGCATTTCTCATTTCTATGGTTATTTGGTCCTGCACCTTAAGTCATGTTTATTGACTTTGAATTTATTGCATAGTTTACTGGTTTAAATAAATATTGCCATTTGGATTCCATATTTGCATGATACTATCAAAATTACAAAAACACGAGACATATCTCTGTGTCAGCAGTTTATTCAAATTTTCATGAAAGAAACTTTTCCTTTGTTTGTTTTTGTGAAAAATTTTATAATGGTACATGTATGCATGTATGTGATTTTTAATTTAAGAAATTGTTATGCCAATCCGGCAGATAATTTTGTATGTCCAATTATCATTTTGTCCAATTAACATTAAGTATATCATGTAAATGAAATGCTAAGACTCATCCGAGAGATGAAATGACAGAACTTTTCTACATTTATAAACAAATACAATGTAAATTAACAAAAGTGTCTTTAGCATTATACAATGTTGTAAGCATCATTCTTACATTTTGTAATTTAGCTGATATCAATGCTGGGGACCGATTTGATGTAACAGCACTTCACATGGCAGCTGAAGGAGGCCATGTTAGATGTGTAGAACTATTGTTAGAGGGTGGTGCTGATTGTAACATTGGAACTAAGTACTCCAAATATGGCTCATATACAGGTAAGTGTTCCTAATCTGTACAAATTTAAAGTTCTCTTTTGTTCCAGAACTTTACCTGACCCATTTTGCTTAGTTGAGGATCTAGGGTTTTCAAAGTTAGGGTGGGGAGGGGGCCCCAAGGCAATGTTAGGATTAGGACCTGTAAAACATCTTTGCATTAACCATATATTTAGCTCCATTTAAAGGGGGCTGGTGTGACATGTACTTTTAATAGCTAAAACTATCTAAATGTGAAAATCTAAAAATTGGAAATAGGGTGACTTTGTATGACTAAGTTACATTTTGTAGTGCTCCCCCAGTCCTTGTTCAAAAATTGGCCTGCCAAATATTAATTATTTTCTTGTTTATTTATTCAACAGGACATGTGGTAAAAATGATATTTGTTTTCCTTGTAGGGCTTGTCTGCTATATGGCTCTTGTTTCTTTTATATTGTGACTTTATTTCGTTCCCTAAGGATAATTTCAGAATGCTTCAGAAACTTTTGTCATTTTGTCAGAATTTGTATGACAAAAGTTATATCAAATTTTATTTTGACAATTTCCTATATATTACAATCCTTTGGAAAATTATTACATCTCTGAACAATTATGGACAACCCTGTTAGTTGTCTATATAAGACTGCTTTTCTCATAATTTCTGATTTTTTAGTGATCCATCTCGAATCAATTTATATAATTACCGTACATATATGAAATACTGTAAATTTAGAAATTTATAGTGTACATTGTATTTATTATTGTGATTTTTGAACAACTGACAATAATGGGAGATTAATTGTTTTCGATTTCAGTAAATTTCTGCATACAAATAATGAAATTAAAATTAAGAATGAATTTTTTTTTCTCGCCTGTGACGAAAGTCGCAGTATGCGAGACATAGGTATTACTATCCGGCGGTGGCGTAAACTATTAGTATAAAGCTTTATATTTCAGAAGGTAGAAGACCTGGATGCTTCATTCCTTGTATGCAGATACCATATGTTACAAGGTTTCCGTCTGTCATATGCCCATTGTCCTTGACCTCATTTTCATGGTTCAGTGACTGCTTGAAAAAAAATTAGTTTTTTTGTCATGTGAATTTTTCACTTATTATGAGTAATAGGATAACTACATGTATATTTGTATATGGGTTCCTTGCAATGTCTACATGTCCGTCAGACAGGGTTAACCTGACCTCGACCTCAATTCATGGATCAGTGATCAAGGTTAAAGTTACATGATTAGGTCCGTTTCTCAGATTCTACAAGCAGCAGGTCAACTATATGTGGTGTAAGGTATGGTTGTAAGGGGTACATGTCAGACTGGCAGGTTTCATCTGACCTTGACGTCATTTTCATGGTTCATTGGTCATTGTTAATTTTTTGTGTTTTGGTCTGTTTTTCAAGTACTGTAGGCAATAGGTCAACTATATTTGGTGTATGGAATGATTGTAAGGTGTACATGTCTGTCTAGCTGGTCTCATCTGACCTTGACCTCATTTTAATGGTTCATTGGTCAATGTTAAGTTTTTGTGTTTTGGTCTGTTTTTCAAGTACTATAAGCAATACGTCAACTATATTTGGTTTATGGAATGATTGTAAGGTGTACATGTCTGTCTAGCCGGTGTCAACTGACCTTGACCTCATTTTCATAGTTCATTGTTGCATATTACCATAAGCAATGGGTCAACTATATTTGGTGTATGGAATAATTTTAAGGTGTACATGTCTGTGTGACAGTTTTTATCTGACCTTGACCTCATTGTCATGGATCTTTAGAAATGTTAAGTTTATGTGATACTTGTAGTAAAACCTTTATCTTAAAGACTTTCAACATAAAATCAATGGTCAGGAAAACAGGTGAGACATTTCAGCATGTGCATTCTTGTTTATTTTTGCCATACCTTTTTTGGCACAATTTTCTTAATAATAGAAAAACAAAATTTTCTGAATTAACAGTAAGTTGGACCAGGACTAGAGTTGAACTTCAATTACACCATGTATCAAGAATAGTTTAGTTCTTTTCATATAGATGTACAATAAAATGCAACTGAGAATTCAAGTATCAGCAAATCATTTATTAAATTTCCAAAAAGGTTTTTATGTGGTTTTGGACATGTTAAAAAATTGAGTGTGATAATTCCAGTGCTAGATTGCTAGATTGATATTTGCTGTTAAACGCCACTTTCAGTACTCTTGGCTACATCTTGGTGTGTAATTTAAATAACTAATCTAAACAATTCTAGTACATATGTAAACTTTGTTAAGTTGTTTAGATTTTTACTGACATGAATATACAAATATTGATTGACATTGTTTGACCCAGGGAATTTGTTTTAAAAAACATGGATAATAGATTTATATGTATTACTGATATATTGCATAACAGTTAATCCACCAAAAAACACTTGTATTCCAGGGATGTGTGAAATACTTGAAGTTTCCTGTAAAAACAATATTAATTCATGGTTATGTGTGAAATTTCAGCAGTTATATATATATATATCATACATGTATAATAATTTGAACCTAAAGATTTCTTTAAAATTAAAAGCTGAGTGTTAACAAATTTCTAAGAATACATGAAAATTCATAAGATATAAAATAACATGTTTTTCAAAGCTGAAAGTCATAACCAGTATTAAAAGTGAAAAGATGATATATTTTTTATAATTGAAAATTTGTAAAAAATATCCTTGGTATATATAAAAACAATATCAATAAAATCTAAATGACCAACATTTGATTCAAACCCTTTTAAGCCATCTACCCCCCATAGGGCCATGTGAGGTATTACCATCACTTTGTGTCAGTCGTCGTCATAAACTTTTTCAAGGATCATAGATATAAGGAGATGTTGTATGATTGCCAGTGAGACAACTATCCACCAAAATATATTGGATGTATGCAAACCATATGGCCTTCAACAATCAGGAAAACCGTATCGTATAGTCTGCTATAATTTAAGGCCGCATTATGAAAAATGTGAAACAATTCAATAGAGAAAACACACAGCCTAATTTATAACTAAACAATTTACGAAAAAAAACAAATATGACAGACATGAACCAACGACAACCACTGAACTACAGGTTCCTGACTTGGGACAGGCACATAAAGAATGTGGCTGGGTTAAACATGTTTGAAGGTGACTAACCTGGGACCGTGGTGTAACGGCATAACACAAGAACAAACTACTAAACAATAAACAAAAAAGCTATATGAGAAACAGCAATAAACAACAACCACTCATTTATAGGTTCTTGACTTGGGACAGGCACATATAGTATGTAGTGGGTTTGAACATGTTTGCTGGTGCCAAAACCTCCCCTAACTTGGGACAATGGTGTTACAGTAGAACGTAAGACAAACTACACTGTATAAACATCAGTTGAAAATTGCTTAACTCATCAGATTAATTCAAAGCAGAAAAATCTACTAAAAAAAACACAGACAGGATGTGGCAGGGAATTTTGACATCCCTCACAACAAAAAAGACACAAATTACAGATGTGAGAGTACTAGCAGTTACTGACAGCTAGTTCAAAGCCAATAACAACTTATAAAAAAAATAATGTATCTAAAACTAAAAACTAATAATTTTATCATTTTATTCCTCTGAAATTCCAAGGATTTATATATAGAACTAGCTAAATCCTTCGAAATTAAAAATTACAATTTAGCATGAAAACATAACTTTAGTGTCTTAGTTCATGAAGAACAAATTTATACCTACATGATAAGTACAAACGATTCTCTTAATTGCGTAGTACATGACAAGTACAAATGCTAAATTGCATAGTACATGTGGTGCAAATTATACATGATATATATGACAAGTACAAATGATTTCTTATAATTGCATAAAATTTACATCAGAGAAAAAAATGATTTGCAAGTCCTGATTTATGTCGGATTACATGTATTAATTTAAACCTTAATATTGCAGCCTTTCCACACCCAGGAGGTACAACACCACTGCATTTAGCCTCTGTTCACAACCATTTAGAATGTGTGAAGGCATTGATATGGCATGGTGCAGATTACAATGCTGTTGATGAGTATGGCAGGACCAGTCTATATTTAGCTGCAGCAGCTGCATTTGAAGACTGTGTCCATGCTCATTTAAATAATGCTATCTGGAAGGACATTTTATCTTTGCCAGTGAAAGGAACAGGTTCAGGCCCAGGACAAGAAATTGGTAAAATGTTATTTTATTTCTGTAAACCAACTTATTTTCGTGGACAATTTATTTTTTGCAATTTGCCAGAGTAGAAAACAAAGCGAATAGAAATCATCGTGAATATGTAAAATTTAGATCTTCCCTTATATAAATACATCATGAAAATGAGAAAATCCTGAAAATAACTTGCTGTGCAGTTGGCTAAAAAGGGTTAAGCGTAAATAAGTTTGTTCTATTATTTGAATTCCTCATTCTTCATAGAAAGGAACAGTATATCATGGTATATATGGTTCTGATTTGTAAAATTAGATAAAGTTATTTTAAATGAGTTAATGGTATATACCTGTCATGCCTGTGTCCGTACCATAAAACATGTTGACATAATTTTTTCCTAATTTTAAAACTAAGCAGAGTAGTTTACAGTATGTGGAATAATTTGAATTCTTCGACATGCAGATTATGTCTGAAAATTCTTCCCTCGTAAACAAAAGAAAGACTTAAAATGTCCTTCCCAAAAAATCTGTACATACTAGTATTTTCTTCTATGGCTTTTCATTGGTTTTTTTTAATTTGTTCTTCACTACTTTCAGGTAACACACCTTTACATGAATGTGTGAAACATAAGCTGGTGACCTGCATAAGAGCACTTCTAAAACGAGGTTCAGATGTTAATCATCTAAATGCTGCAGGTTTTAGTCCACTGCATTTGGCTGTCAAAGCTGGTGAGGGCTTCTCTATGCCAGTTTTACGTGAACTGGTAGCAAATGGTTACAACACAGATGTTAATATTCCAGATTCACAAGGTAAATAATCCAGTCCATGTCCATGGGTGATAAATAAAAGGTAAATAATCCAATACATGTCCATGGGAGATAAATAAAAAGTAAATAATCCAGTCCATGTCCATGGGTGATAAATAAAAGGTAAATAATCCAGTCCATGTCCATGGGTGATAAATAAAAGGAATATAATCCAGTACATATCCATCGGAGATAAATAAAAGATTGATTGATTGATTGATTGTTGGTTGCTTAACGTCCAGTGGCAAGATAAATAAAAGAGGGGGATGAAATAATTGAAAACCTTTCCATCATAATGAGTATAAAAAACATAAATAGAGGTATATTCAGAAATAAAACTTCTCTGGAGTTACAAAAAAAAATGTTTATAAGATATAAGAAGGGGGGTGGGGGGAACTTAATATGTACTGAGTGGTAGAGATGAGCCGCTGGAATAGGTCACTATTTCAAGCTTTATGATATATGCCAAAGGTGAGAAAGTAAGTATTTATTTTTAAGATGTGATTAAAACCAGAGTTGTAAATGCCTCAGATATTTGTCAAACTTATTTGAACTCCATGAAATAGTGTACTTTACTTTTACATGTAATATGATAAATATGTATTTTTAAATACCGGTATTCAAAATATATGAAAAGGGGCGGTACTAGATGTCTCAGCTGCTCACCTCTACCCCCCTCCCCCCATTCCCTTCTATATAGTATACATAAGACTCTTCTGCTAGTAAGACAAACCACATCTTCAGCAAAGATGAGTATTTCCGCTCAAGGTTTGATTCACATACAAAAAGCAAATTATGCTGAAATAACGCAGATTAATTTCATGATAAGATAGGATAAGAAAAAATATGTAAACATCAAAATTAGAATTTATTATTAATTCTATATAATTACATTAGATGTATGTTTCATTATTATACGTTAGTTTGATTGGCTTACAGCAATCTCGCGTCATTCTTCATTTCAAAATGAATTTCATGAATTGTAACATACATGATGACACACGTTTCCACAATAAAGTGCACAGGTAAATAAAAGAAAAAAATGTTAGTAATTGTGTTTTCATGATCATAGCTAAAAAATGTAATTATAAGTATTGAATGCTTCTTTTAGTAATTTCATAGGGTTGTAAAAGCCTTGACTGTGCGTACATTTTTGTCGAGCCTTCGACTTTTGTCGAAAAAGCGAGACATAGCGATCCTACATTCCGTCGGCGTCGTTGTCGTCGGCGGCGTCCACAAATATTCACTCTGTGGTTAAACTTTTTCAGATTTTAATAACTTTCTTAAACTATCCTGAATTTCTACCAAACTTGGACAGAAGCTTGTTTATGATCATAAGATTATATTCAAAAGTAAATTTTGTAAAAAAAAAATTCCATTTTTTCCGTATTTTACTTATAAATGGACTTAGTTTTTCTGCCAGGAAACATTACATTCACTCTGTGGTTAAAAGTTTTTCAAATTTTAATAACTTTCTTAAACTATCCTGGATTTCTACCAAACTAGGAAAGAAGCTTGTTTATGATCATAAGATAGTATCCAGAAGTAAATTTTGTAAAAAAAAAATCCTTTTTTTCCGTATTTTACTTATAAATGGACTTAGTTTTTCTGCCAGTTAACATTACATTCACTCTGTGGTTAAAGTTTTTAAAATTTTAACAACTTTCTTAAACTATCCTGGATTTGTACCGCACTTGGACAGAAGCTTGTTTATGATCAAAAGCTAGTATCTAGAAGGAAATTTTGATAAAATTTTGTTCCATTTTTTCCGTATTTTACTTATAAATGGACTTAGTTTTTAGGCAGTTAAGCTGCCTTATGCGAGCACCCTAGATTTGTGTTCTACCCAATAAATGCTGAAATACGTGCCATTGTTATTATCTACCTGGATATAATGTTATTTATAACTAATTGAATAGTTTTTTCATACTTTTAATTCTGGATTACAAAAATATGACCAGAAAAATCCTTAAATGATCGTCGAACCGCCCAAAAGTTTTGAAGTTGCACATAGGAAGTAGAGCACATTAGGAATCCTTATGTAGTTTATTATCCCCTGTGCTTTTGGCTAAGATGTCAAAGAACAATTGTATGAAATATTTAATCGCCGAAAATCTTTAAAGACAAGTAGTTTAGATTTCCCAAATGGCAAAAGTCGTAGGAATATTGTTTGTCGTCAATACGTGGTACAACTACGTCAGTAGTCTATTAATAAGTTCAACTGTTCATGCTGTTGGCGGCAATTTCAAATTAGAAGACGAAATTTTCGTATCATTTCAATTTGGAGGCAGGGGTTCAAATTAGCGGTGGTCCGAGGTCCGCGACCTTCCACTTTTGCAATCGGACTCTCGACTTGGTTACTAGCTACGCCCGACGGACCTTTCACTTGAAAGAAATTAAAATAACTTTGCAAACCTTTTTACCAAAGTCTCTAAATAAACGATCTCAAAACGTATTTTCATCTTTATTATTCATAACAGCGATGTTCATTTTGTTCAACCGCTAGCTTTATACAGATAATCGCCGACAAGTAATGTGTAAATTCGAGTAAAATCGTATCTGACTGACAAAAACAACATCGAAAAACAATGGATGCCGTGTAGACAATTACAATATCGGGTCCGATTCCGGAAGCGGATAAGGGTAATTCCGGGTTTTGGAGATCAACTAGAAAAAAAAAAATTTCAGGCAGGTGACAAAATACATCTATGCATGGTAAATAAATATAAACACTAGAAATGGAAACCAAAAGATATATGTAAAAGAAAGAAAAAGCAAAAAATATTTGATACAGAAACTCAAAATTACTTTCTGACAAATTTTAATGTCCAAATCCAATACAATGTGACAGCTGGGAACAGTATATCTAACAATATATATGTTCCTGGTGACAGTATAAATCTTCTTTATCAGTGATAAATGTTGATAATGCATGTAAGATGCTTTTAAAGTGTAAACATATTACTGCAATTTTTTTCTCAATTTTGAAGGGTCAGTTAAAATAGCTGGAAGTTTCTTACTTTGTTTTCACAAATAGTGCAACTAGATTATATGATACCTGAATGTAAGCAAATCATATGATATATAGGTGGAATCCTTTGGGTCACTCTACCCCCTCCTGTTTGATAACTTTGAAACGGATGAGATCCCCACTCCTAAACCATATATATTCATGTATGGGACTATATAACTAATCAAATGAAATATAGGGGGAAGTCCCTAGGGTTACCCCACCCCTCCTGTTTGAGAACTTGGAAACAGTCGAGATCCCCACCCCTAAACCATATATATTCATGTATGGGACAATATAACTAATCAAATGAAATACAGGGGAGTCCCTGGGGTCACCCCAACCCTCCTGTTTGGGAACTTTGAAATGGTCGAGATCCCCACCCCTAAACCAAATATATTCATGTATGGGACAATATAATAAATCAAATGAAATATAGAGGGAGTCCCTGCGGTCACCCCACCCCTCCTGTTTGAGAATTTGGAGACGGTCAAGATCCCAAGACAAGACAAGACAATTTATTTAAACTTAAGCACACGTATGGTGCTACAAGAGGATAACAATTATACATTAACAATTACATATATACTTATACATTTACAAGCAAGACACACAATAAATAAATAAGTGATATCATACAATAAAATTGAAATAAACCATATTTGGTTGATTTGTTTGCAAAATTCTTAATTGCAACGTGGATATGAAGTTATTGTAACATGCTTTGTATTATGAAAATATTTTTTCAATATGTCTTAGAAACATGCACACTTTTGTTAGCAGTGGCACGTTACAGTGTGATAATAGACCAGTAAGTTTCAATTGGGAAGGATTTTGTGTGTAATATGTAGGTATATACCTTTCTCTTAAAGACATAATTTGTTCATTGGAGCATACAAAAAAATAATGATCCCATAAACCATACATATTCATGTATGTGACAATATAACAAATGAAATGAAATATAGGGGGAGTCCTTGGGGGTCACCCCACCCCTCCTGTTTGAGAACTTGGAAACGGTCGAGATCCCCACCCCTTAACCATATATATTCATGTATGGGACAATATAACAAATCATATGAAATATAGGTTGAGTGCTTGGGGCCACTCTACCCCTTCCTGTTTGAGAATTTGAAAACGGTCGAGATCCCCACCCTAAACCATATATATTCATGTATGGGACAATATAACAAATCAAATGAAATATAGGGGCAGGTCCTATGGTCACTGTAAACCATCCTGTTTGAGAACTTGGAAACGGTCGAGATCCTCACCCCGAAACCATATATATTCATGTATGGGACTATATAACAAATCAAATGAAATATAGGGGAGTCCCTGCAGTCACCCCACCCCTCCTGTTTGAGAACTTGGAAACAGTCGAGATCCCGACCTCTAAATTAAACCATATATATTCATGTATGGGACAGCAGAACTTATCAAATGAAATATTGTCCTGTTTGATAACTTGGAAACAGATGAGATCCCCACCCCTAAACCATAAATACTCATGTATTTGGCAATATAACAAATCAAATGAAATATAGGGGAAGTCACTGGGGTCACCCCACCCCCTCCTGTTTGAAAACTTGATAACGGCCGAGATCCCCACCCCTAAACCATATATATATTCATGTATGGGACAACATAAAAAATCAAATGAAATATAGGGGTAGTCCCTAAGGTCACCCCATCCCCTCTTGTGTGTGTTTTAAGAACTTGTAAAAGTTTGAGATACCAACTCCTAAACCATATTCATTCCTGTTCGTCATTTCAAACAGATTTGAATGACATACAAGGTCAATCTCATAGGCATCACATATGCATATCACTTTACTAGACCTAATCAATGTGTACTAGACTTTGCCCAATGTCAGGCGACCATGGGAATGAATAATTATGGGAGCTTTGTTTGGGAGACTTCGTAACAGCATTCTGTTACAATTATTTCTTGTTTATTATAAAATTTTATTGATGCAAAAAATGAGTAGGTTTAAAGAATTTACCTTAATTATATTTTGAATAATTTCTGGTTCTATAAAAAATTTCATATTAATATGGCTCATTTTAAAGAAAACATATCTTTCAAGCCCAAGAATGTTTGACCAACTTTATTATAATCACCTGTCATTTTATTCCAAACTTAGACATCATGGACTTGGGGTGAAGGCGGGGGTTATTTACATTTACTATGGGCAGGTCAGTCAGACCTCACCTTTGATCCCCGTAGTAGTAAACATTTGTCTGATTTGTGTCTCATAACTTTTGCACTGTAGAACACAAACTCAGTTTTCTTTCCAGGGAAGCAAGTCCATGCATACTATTACAAGCTCGTACTAAGTCAACTTGAACTACTAACAGTCAACTATTACCAACGTTAACTATCAACTAGAACAATTGCAATCATTTCGAACTTGTACCACTGCAGACACATGACCATTAAAAATATACTTGATATATGCATTGCTTTGGAAAACCTTGATAAAATATGAATTATTTGCCTTAATAATTAATTCATTAAATGAACATAAATGCACAATATATGAATGTTTAATGTTTGTTCTTTTAAATCTTAAAAAAAATGAAGCAACATAGCCAGTTTTTATAATTATGTTTGCCTTGGTTTTTGGTTAACTGCCTACAGCGCTTACAGTGCTTTGATTCTTCCAGTCAACATTACATACAGTCTGCAGTTTAAGGTTTTAAAACATTTATTAGATTCATAAATTATCCTGGATTTTTACCAAACTTGGACAGAAGCTACTTACATTCAAATGATTGTATAGAGAGGAATATTTTTATTAATTTTTTTTTCTCATTTTTGTTGAGCCTGCGATTAACAGCAAAAGAAGGCGAGACACTGGGTTCCGCGGAACCCTTACAAATTTTTAGAATGAAGCGCTTTCGCGCTTCATAAAAAATGTACTTCGGTCAACGCTTTTACACCCCAATGAATTTACAAAAAGAAGCATTCAATTCTTAAGTAACTGACATATTTTATATAAATAACATACATTACCATTTCAGGTTACACTCCTCTACATTATGCATGTTTCCATGAGAACAACATGCAGGAACGTCGACCTGAAGTGGCCAGACTATTAATTGCTTATGGTGCCAATGTTGACATCAAGATATCTGGTGCTGACCATGCTAGTCTTCTGACACAAGAACTTAGAAGTCCATTCGCTGATTTATCTATATTGAAATATATTGTGAAAACAATGGTTGTTCTGCCAAGTCCAGACACTGTGAGAATGATTGGCCCTTCAACTGTAGGCCTGCACATGGATCTAGCTACAAGGCGACGTCTTATGATGGCAGATTCACAAAATCATTTTGAGAAAGTCCGATGGTTTAAAAATGAGTGTAGGACACCTAGATCACTTCAGCATTTGTGTAGATTTTCTGTTAGAAAAACAATCACTGTCAAAAGAATTGGACAACTTCGCACATTGAAAATACCAACAACATTAAAAGACTACTTACTGTTTAATGATGGTGATGAAGACTGATTGCTTTTAGAATGGTGGAATTCATTTCTGACATTAAGAGTGTTCCTATCAACATTAAAGTATTCCATAAATATACTTTTTAAGACCAGAGCTCTCTCTACTCAGAGTATTGCAACACGATTAGAGCAGACTATGCACTAAGAATTTTCTGTTATTAAACGTATCAGAACTATAGCTTAAACTAGAGTAACATAAGAGAATATTTAACATGCTGCTCATTACTATTATGTTGAACAAATATGATGCAAGCACAGTCAATGACATTTGAATGTATCTAAATATACTAATTATATGGTGTTTCCAAAGTTTACCATGGACATATGATGGAAATCTGAAGTTAACCAAAGCTTTGTTATTATGTTATTTACATTCTGGTCAGTAATCATTAAAACGTTGGTACGGATTCTCTTACTTAGTTGTTCAGAACAGAAATCATGCATAGAATATACAATGGTATTTAATTTATGAAAAATTCTCTGATTCCATCATGTTCATTCATTTCTGATTTTCAATAGGATAGTTGTAATCCATAAGAGAATACTCCTCCTTATCCAGAAATGTCAGCTTCATTCATTCAAAAACATATTTGTGCAATATCTAAATAGTTGAAATTTGTTTATTATTAAAGATAGATTGACGTCAATTAACAATACATAATGTTTAAATCTTAATTGTTAATCAAATCTTGAAAAGATTAATACTTAAAATTTAAATGGCAATTAATGTTAATGGATGATTGTGCAATGCAATCCAGTTTACATTGTTTATATGTATTGTTAATTCATTTGAAACCATTCGAAACATTCTTCAGATCAAAAAGTTCTGCAGTTTGTAAAATTTCTTGTTAGATCGAGTGTAGAGACAGTATTTAGTTGATTTTAAATGATTATCTGCTTGCAAATTTTTTTGTAAATTAAATTTTTTTTTTAAAGGAGTTCTTATAAGGTTTATATTATATCCTTACATACATGCTTAACAAACTGATTGTTAATAATAATGAAAAATTGTTCAGCACATATATTTTATGTAATTGTTAAATTTTGTTAAACATCTTGTCGAATCAACTTCAAATTGTATAACTTATCTGTAGAGATTTTAAGAAAGTTGTGAATAACTCATTTCAGTCATACAAGTAACAGTACTTATCAGGATGTGGAACATTTGTGAAGAACAGAATATTATTTGTAGTAACAAAATAAGATTTACATGTCCAAAATACATGTACATGACTCAGTTATAGTAATAGAAGACAGGTTGTGGTGAAATATACAAAATATAAGTTAATATGCGTAATGATAGTACAAGGGGAGTAACCCTTGGTGAATCCATCACCAATGTAGTCCGTCTATATAGCAAAATTCATAAGTTTGTAAAAAAGGAATATAGAAAGAAAAAATATAGAAAATTTGATAGGAGCAACATACTGAGCCATTTTGTTTTCCCATTGTTCTTCTGACATCATGCTTGACGTTTTTTATGTTATTTTATGTTTCTAAACAGTTGATTTTGGTTCTGATAACCTTATTAGTTAGCCACCTGGCTTAAAATTACAAAACAAACAACTGCTAATTTTCCTTTTACAGGCAATGCCAAGTTCATGATCTGTCTGCATAAGACACATCTAGAGATCTAGTAGACAAGCTCTTAAGCCCCTTGACTTAAAATCAGGATAGGCAAATATTTACTGGTGTTTAAGAAACACATCTAAAAAATCTATGTACACATGTAGATCACCTGAAAGTGACTATAAGTGAACATTTTCGATTTTTTGATTTTGATTGATTTGTTATTTTCCATTATGAACCTTACATTTGTGCTGTTGAATTTTATTTGTTATGTACATAAACACAAGAAAGACTTGTCATTTCATTTTGTTTACATGTAGTCATGGTAGTCAAGTCATTTCATTTTGTTTACATGTAGTCATGGTAGTCAAGTCATTTCATTTTGTTTACATGTAGTCATGGTAGTCAAGTCATTTCATTTTGTTTACATGTAGTCATGGTAGTCAAGTCATTTCATTTTGTTTACATGTAGTCATGGTAGTCAAGTCATTTCATTTTGTTTACATGTAGTCATGGTAGTCAAGCATAGTTATATATTTATTCATAGATATTTTCATATATAGTAATCATGTTTAAACTTGAGGGTTTAGAAAAAACGTAAAGCAAAATAAAATGTAAAACAATTTCTTTGTACAGATATTTTTATATGCCTTGTCACATACAGTACAGGTCAAATTTATGTTGCATTTTCCACCAGACAGTAAAAACATTTCAAATACAATAGCTTTTCTCATTTTTCTGAGTTAAGTTGTATAATCAATTTGAAAAAAAGAAATGGAATTTCCACTGTAAAGGGTGGACATGGAACATTTAAAAGTTTTGCCTACTCCCTCTTTAGACAGGTTGAAATGGTAAAATCTATGTGAGCTGTAGTGTACTTTATGTGCCTGTTTCTGTTAGAACAGTACAAGAGCAAGACCCCAGAGACAATTTTTGATTCCGATTTGATGATTCAAATAATTTCTTTTCAAGGTCTCATCTTTTCAACTGTACAAGAAATCTGTAGGAGGACCCTGTTCTAAGATTCACCATTTGGTGTTCATTGAGTGACATATAGCAGTTATGGTGCCATACAGATTACCATTAAAAAACATTCTTTTCAACAGCTGTGTAAAGTTGTAACTCCTAATGAAAGTCTGCAGACTTAAAAATACTATTTCATTTCTTCAGCATACAACATACTTCATGGACTTTACTTCAAAACTTTGCATGAAACGTGCAAACTATTTTAAAATGTCAGGCATATATATACATTTGCATAATTAGTCATCTATGTTATCTCTAACTATATATTACACAATAATAGACTAACTACAGTGGACAAGCTGAATGAATTGGTAGCAAAAATGATAATGACAGAATAATACACTGGGACTAAACTGTCATCGGATCAAACTACAAGAGGGCATTGTTATGTCCAAGCTTTGCTAATAAGGATACGAATCAGTCTGTTCTACTTTCGAGATCGTCTGGTTTTGTCTGATTAAAACAAACCTTCAAAAATTTGAAGGCGGAAATTTCATTGACTGATGTAAAAATTACCAGAACAGAAAGTACTTAGAAGTGTTGTCAGATCCATGTAAGCAAAGCTTAGACACAGGATCCGTTTTTTAATCCAATTGATCCCTTGCAATGGTCAAGTACACTTTAAAATACTCTGTAGACCAAATATTGTAAATGAACCCATCATTTAAAGTAGCTGAGACATTCTCATCATGAGAGCTTGATCAATGAACCTTGGAAACAAGGTCATATCAGATGACCCCTTACAAAAAGACTATGTACATCTGACATCAACTATTGGAAAAAAAATATATGATTTGTCAATTGAAATATCTGATATATGAACTTAATTTTGATCAGTGAACCAAGAAAATGAGGTCATGTCATTCGATTCCTCTTATATGAACATGGTCATCTTACAATGAATGATTCAATAGACCAAATATAGTTGACCTTTGCAGTAATTGAGGAAGCGCTAAAAGCATGAAAACTCAACTTGATTATTTAACCATGGAAATGACATATAGGCAAGATTATACCTTTCACATAAAAATGTTCAAACTGCAATGAGCCTGTAGACCAAATATATTTGACCTCTTACATGTGGTTAAACTGAGAAACTGACCTATTTCGCATGAAAACATAACTAATCATCAAACCAAAAAAAAATAGGTCAATGGCATGTGACCCCTATAACATTCATGTACACCTTCCACATATTCTAGTATATCTATACTAATACAGTACATCTGTGACTAGTAGTAACTGTTAAACATGATCTCAGCAGGAAAACTTATTGCTTATCAAAGAAACTGAAAATGAGATGGTTAGAGAACCTCCAGACAGAACTGCCTTGGAGTGAGGAAGGTCATGGATTTGATTCTCAGCTGCTGGGTCAAACCTAAGACTTTAGAAAATTGGTATTTGCTACTTCTCATCTAAACACTCAGCATTTAGGAGTATGAGCAGACTGGGCAGTATGGAGTCAGAGTAATGTATACGGGGAAGGGTGACATTTCTTCCTAGAGACTGCTACTTGTGTACTTGTACATTAATTATTGTGCTCAGCATGGCAGTTGAGTACAATGCAGGGTTCATATTCATATCACATTAACAAGTCCTGAATATGCATTTTACTTGCTACTGGACGTTGAACAGTCGTCTTTCCATCAGGCAGACATGTATATCTTTCAATGATTCTACATACCAAATTTGGTTACCTATGACTTTAATACAATCACTCAGAAGCTGGCTTAAACATGAAGGCTTATAATTGAGCAATGAACCATGAAAAAGAGGCCATGGTCTGATGACTGTGCCTTTTGCTCAATCCTATTCCTATCATTATGAATAAAATAGGTTTAAATATAAATTGCTGGAGGTAAACATCAACAAAAAAAGTCAGGTTGGTATTCTTCCTTATTTTTCAAAAGTTTAATGTCAAGAAACTTCTTTTTTTTTAAATTTGGTTTTGATGGCTGATATCTATTTATTTCTGTTTTATTTCTAGCTATTTAAGGATGATTTAGACGTTGGCAAGTTGTAAAGATACATGTAGACTACTGAAAATTGTGTTAACCTCTTAATATATTTTTATTATTGTTGTTGGGTTGCTGTGTCCTTGATGTATACCCATATCTCCCTTTATTCATAAAAAAAAAAAAAAAAATGTTTTGTAACCCAGATTCTGAACAGTTCAGAATATCTTCATAGAATAAAAAACAGTGAAAAGAATGAAATATTATAAAACGATTTATTCTATAATACAAATGCTATTTTTCTTGTAATAAGTAATGATCTTTTATGAACTTAGAAATTTCACATAATAAACATAGAATACTGACACTGTGTAAACAGGCAAATTTCACTCACATGATTTCACAAGATTTGACATAAATTTCGTGTGCAATAAGCTTTAATTTTGTTCACAAGAAATCAATTTTACATGTATTCCTTTTTTATTAATTTCAGTGTTCCAGCTAGGATTTCAAAAGGGCAGGGTGCCAATCCTGAAAAAGGGCATTTAACGCGTGATATGATAATATGAAAAGGGCATGTTTTAATAAAGATTATAATCAAACATTGTTTGTTCATTGGATCACTGGTTATAAATATACAAGAACAACATCATTAGCCCAGAGAAAAACTATCTTTCTACTTTTTAGGCTGAAAACTTGTCAAGCAGCTTGTGACACAAGTTTTAAATCATTGCTTGGCACAGTTAAGCTTTATATGCAGTATTTTTTGAAAAATGTCCTGCTTCATTCTGTTTCTATGGTCTGACACACTTTACAAGTTTCACCTTTCTACCTTTTCTGTGCTTAATGGCAATACAGCACAAAACAGCTGTAAATGCACAATGTTAGGATATAGTGAACAGTGAACATTTGGATTGAAAATAAAAAATACAGAAAAAGATGACCAAGGCACCCTACCAACCCTGCTACTAAGACCCTCTTTAACTTTTCCCATAACTCAAAACACCTAAACATATAAATTCTAAAGCCAGAAGTATGAAGACATATTTTATTATATCTTAGTAGGTTACTCAATGCTAGGAAAAAATAAGATTGAGTTATCTTTCTTTATTTGGGTGTGCTCCTTCTTTGGAGGATAATAAACAGTACGTAGAAGATGTAAATATGATCAACAATATGGCGGCCGATTTTGTTATTTTTGTGTAAAAAATGAAGGCAGTCAATGAAAAATACGTCTTAATTTGCTATTTATTTCACGGAAAACAATAAGAGCAATGTTTTTAACGAGTTGATTATGGTTTTCGAATTTCTGTCAAGTACGTTTTCTCCATGAAACTACGGTAAACATTGCTAATTGTGCCCAAGTTGTATGAACATTTCTTCAAGTTCAAAGAGAAATGCCGACTGACCGATTCTATTTGAATGAATTAATGTTGATGATCATTAAATGACCCATCCGATAAACGGATTACCTATAACAACAGATTATGACACCTGTTGTAACCGTTGATTAGCTTGGGGTCGTAAACAAAGTCATATACTTGTCGCCAGGTAAATTTTCGTAATTGGCTGATCATATCAATATGAACAAAATAATATACCAATCGATCTTCAAAAAAGGCAGGGCGCCCTGCAAACTGTAAAAAGGGCACAGGGCGGCACTCGGGAAAGGGCGGGCGGACCGCCCTGTGAAAACGACCTAGCTGGAACACATAATTTCATGTGAATTTTAGAAATAAGCTTGTTTCAAGAGAAACTTGCCTGAAAAAATTCACTTTATTATAACATAATTTTATGGAAAATAAACTTTTTGATTTTAAAAACAAATGAAGAGAATAACAAAACTTTTTATAAATATTTTAACATTATAAAGCTTATTTTACAAACTAAATCGGATCATAAATCAACAGTTTATGCTCTTCTTGCTATATCACTAGGCTACACATATTCTGTTATTTAAAATTAAAAAAAACTTTGAACAATGTTTTTCAATAGACATTTCTTTTCCTATATTCCAAAGTTATGATATGAAAAGAATATAATGTTCAAAACACAAATATATAAATTATTATCTCCCTCCCTCCCTTAAAGTCAAATATAAATGTGTTTGCAGGTCGTGGTTTTCAAAGGACATATATTATTGGTACCTACTGCATTTGTTCATAATATTTATGTATGTCAGACACACTGATTAACTATATGATTGATCTGTTAAACATTATTATTTAATTTCATATGAAATAGATAATTTTGCTTGTTTCATAATGCATATTAAAATAAAATAACAAAACACATCATAAACGTTTTAAAATCATCTAACAGTTTAAGAAAATAATTTTTGTTCTTTGACTTTAATTACTGTTGCAATTCCTTATTAATTTGTGAAGATAATATCAATAGAACTGAACATATCTAGCCATCATGGTAAACAGTATTCAAAACATAAAGCAAGTACTACATTGTTTTTTCTATTAGTTCTGGTAGTAAATGGATTTCTAGCCACATAACCTACAAAAGTTCATAAAACAGGTATATGTATTCAAAACAATATTCCTGAAATTGTTAATGTGAAGGATGTAACTTGTGTATATGACCCAAGCCAGGCATGCTATCAATAATGGTATAATAAATAATGTCAACAAGTATAAAATATCACAATAACAAATAAGTCACATGATTAACATTAGCTCTTTAAAGCTTCCAATCGACTTGTCAGATCTTCCTCTCCCTCATCTTCACTCAATGCAGTGGCGCCCTCTGCCTCTACTGTTGCTGATGGCAGTGTGTCAGCCAGGGCGTCTGGTGCCTTATCTAATACACCTATAAAAAGTAAAAAAAGCATTTAATTCACTCAATTTTTTAATGCAAATTTTTTAAACAGAAATGTAAGTGAATTTTCAAAAAGATATCCCGACCCTGCAAATTTGATTGTCACCCTTTAAACAAGTTAGACAAAGAAAATCCGTTCAATTATCTCCCCTTTAACAAGTTGGACCAAGAAAATCCTTTCAATTATCTCCCCTTTAACAAGTTGAACCAAGTAAAGCTGTTCAATTATTTCCCCTTTAACAAGTTGGACCAAGTAAATCAGTTCAATTATCTCCCCTTTAACAAATTGGACCAAGTAAATCCGTCCAATTATCTCCCCTTTAACAAATTGGACCAAGTAAATCCATTCAATTATCTCCCATTTAACAAGTTGAACCAAGTAAATCCATTCAATTATCTCCCATTTAACAAGTTGGACCAAGTAAATCCGTTCAATCATCTTTCCTTTAACAAGTTAGAACAAGTAAATCTGTTCAATTATCTCCCCTTTAACAATTTGGTCCAAGTAAGTAAGTTCAACTATCTTCCTTTTAACAAGTTGGACCAAGTAAGTGAGTTTAATTATCTCCCCTTTAACAAGTAAGTTCAATTATCTCCCCTTTAACTAGTTGGACCAAGTAAGTAAGTTCAATTATCTCCCCTTTAACAAGTTGGACCAAGTAAGTAAGTTCAATTATCTCTCATTTAACAAGTTAAACCAAGTTAGTAAGTTCAAGTATATCCCTTTAATAAGCTGGACCAAGTGAATAATTCAGTTATCTCCCTTTTAACATGTTGGAATAGTATTATATTCCTTCAAGCACATTCTCATGTAGTGTTTGTGATATGCAAAATAAAAATTACCACTTGTGAGTTCATCTAAAACTTTGGCAACTTCTGTATCAATTTCATCATCCATATCTTCATCATCTAAGCCTTCCATTGTATCTTCTATCATTTCCTCCAATATACCAGCCTGCAATAAAATAACACCAAATTACTAGTAATCTGAGTTAGCCTTTGTGTGATTGAAAACATTCAGAGTAAATGTTAACAGGACAGTCCAACTGAAGTTTTATAAACTTACTTTCCAAATGACAACTTTCACATTTGGCTCATTTAAATGAAAATTATCCATTTTACATGTTTTATGTCAAATGTGTAATTATTTGTATTGACATGTTAAACATCACCTATTTTATGCCCCCGCAACTAAAAGTTGGGGGCATATTGTTTTACCCCTGTCCGTCTGTCTGTCCTGCTTCAGGTTAAAGTTTTTGGTTAAAGTTTTTGGTCAAAGTAGTTTTTGATGAAGTTGAAGTCCAATCAACTTGAAACTTAGTACACATGTTCCCTATGATATGATCTTTCTAATTTTAATGCCAAATTAGAGTTTTGACCCCAATTTCACGGTCCACTGAACATAGAAAATGATAGTGCGAGTGGGGCATCCGTGCACTATGGACACATTCTTGTTTCTTTCTAATAAATGTAAAATACCTTAAATGGTTGATTTTAATTTTATATTCATGTTTGACTTAAAATTCAACCTTCCAAATGTTAAAAGAGTTTACTTTCAATTTAAAACATCTAACTATTATGAAACTGTAATGGTACAAACAGAGTACAGGAGGTATCTGTTATTAAATATTCATTTTGTACAATAAACAGATGTTTCAAAAATCTGATTCAAATTGGATATGCTACACTCCCTAACTACGAAGTATATCGTAGAGAAAACTAACAGCTTATTTTAATCAGATAGGTGTTTCAAATAATAAAGTGAAAACTTAAAGAAAATTTTTGTGTTTTACAACAAATTTCCTGTTTAGCTATGTTAAAGTTTGTTCATGTGTATCTACAGAATTCTTTAATATCTGGGGTAATTGCATGCACATTTGAAAGACTAATATTTCAGCAAAGCATAACTCATACATTATCATTGACTTGAAACACTACTCTTTAACTTTCAAAAAAACATCTGTATTACAACCTTAGGCCAGTGCTTAAAGGCAGAGTAAAAAAAACTCTGTGTTTGGTAATCTGTAACATGTGTAATTTTTCTGTTTATGGTATTTAACACTTATGATAAAAAATTGAGTTATCCTCCATTCCTACCCAAGTGATTACAAAAAAGGCTACATGGGCATGTGAATTATGGTCTTCTGGCAATTTTGTACCCTTGTAAGCATTAAGACATATAAGTAAACCATACAAACTTATTGGGCCCCTGTGTGAAAAACCATGATTTCAATGTTACAATGCATGTTGTATGAGGCGGACAAGGCTCCATTTTGATACTGTCCCCATGACGTCTTGATATGCTTTGTATGATATACAGTATACTTAGCTACCATACAGGGTCATATAAACTTTGCTATAATAGATTTAAATTAAATTCTCAGAGAAATACCATGCCAATCATGTTAAGGTTTGAATTAGTCCATAGGTTTCATATAAGACGTCACATAAAATACATGAATCAAGGTAAAATATAATGTTTCTCAGTATATCTGTTTTTTTTTTATTTTCTTTTTCTGGAAATAAGGTTTTGAAAGTTTTGAAATTTTCATACACAATAATTCCAGTGGTTCTAACAAGTAAATTTATACCTTCATCATTTCTTTTGACATTTCCATCATGGTACGTTGAATTTCTGGTAGTTTTACTAATGCCTGCATGCTTTTCATCACATCTGTACTTTTCTCAAGAGCTCCAGCTATTCGCAATGTTGCTAAAAAAATGTTAATTAATGATTATGTCCCTAGTAAATGTATACTTTGCAATTCACATGTATGTACAGATGATTCATGTATGTGTAGAAGTGAAATAAATTATGATACAGCAAGAAAAGTATTTATGTAAATATTATGCATGCACTGTAAACCCCTTTGAATAAAATCTGCATGTGCAGTAGAATTGTAAAGTAAAATGTTGACTAAACAGCATATGTTTTAAGAAAAATTTAACAAAGATTCACTTACCTACAGATGTAAATTTTGTTATGTTCGTTATGAATTTGTATTTTACGACTTTCTGTCACAAAAACATATTATTGCATGTGATTTTAAACCTCTTGAAGCACACCAGTGTGCCTAAATTGTCTTTCTTGTCTTATCTGATCTCCCAATTATAAAAAGTAAGGCATTTTATTCCAACTGTGGGTGTATCACTTTTTTTCTAATTGCATTACAATTTATAATATGAAATTGGTAATGACAAGCTAACTTCATGAAAATTTCTTTCAGTTCTGCAGTTACTTTTTTATCTTTAAATAATGCTGTTCTTTAGAATGTTTTGGTGTTTAAAGTATAGAATTTAAAAATTCATCCTAGAAATATATAAATATAGATACAATTTTGGATTCAAAATGATGACCTTGACAGTATGCAATGTATGGTGATGCAGCCATTATTTTTCAATGGCAGTGTTTCTACTAACAGTTTCTATTTCTCTCTGTTTTCATTCTTTTGCATGTAAAAATAATGAAGATATAATAAACACATATAAATGAAATTATATGAAATAGATACCTAGTTGATTTTTCATGTTCATAGATACAGAATTCATATGTGCCTTTGATGCATATAGTTTATTCACAACTTTTCGTGATTTGACAATTTCACTAGCCAGAATTTTACAAGCTCCCTTTTCTCCCTTTTTGGCTGCATCTTTCAGATGACGTTTTGCTTTCTCTTCCTCTCTCTGTATACCTGTTACAAAATAACATGTAAGGTTAGTACAAATGTTTTTTGCAAGCAAAAACTTACATTCACAATAAAATTCAACTTTTAAGACATTCAAGACATTTTTCCAACTAAATGTTAGATTAGGAATCACAGAGATCAATAAATTGTAAAAAAACACATTATATTGTCATGTCTACAATAAATGTACATTTCCTTATAATGTTCAAAAGTCATCAAGGAGTCACAAATGAAAATTACTTTTTTTGGTGTTTTCCATAACGAACTATGCTATCATTATAGTGAATTGTACACTTTTACATTCATTAGAAACAATATGACAAGGTCTTGATCAGTGTTATCACTTCAAATCACCAGCAAGAGTGATTTTTAAATGAAGAACATTGTAATCATAAAATGGATATTCATAACCATTAAATATGAACTAGTTAGACCTAGAGTTCCTGTTTGAATTTTCCTTACATATATCTATTTGTCAAATTTAAAATTAATCCAGACAAATTTACCATACTTTGAAGAAGTTACTTTTTTGCTCTCATTGGTGTCCCTTCTTCTAACTTGGAAAGCCATGATCATGACCTTTTCTATTAAAATTTGTAAGTATTGTTATTTTAAAAATCTGATGATCCATCTATCCACTGAAAGAATATTTAATAATTTTCTACTGCACCAGGTATCTAAATTTTGATACTTTAATAATAAAATATTGTTAAACATGGTTTAACAAAAAGATGTATCAATTTTAATGTGTAAATTTTAAGAATACATGACCAATTAGTTTATAACGATTTTATTTGCTCATAGATACAAAAAGGATCGGACACAAGTTTAACCAACTTATGAAGTCTTCTCCTTTACATAATATTACAATAACAATTATACAGAGCATGCACAGTTCAGTATATATATATTAAAGGTAATAGTAAAATGAGGCATTTGCACAGTCAGAGAAGAAAAAGAAAGAAAGAAAAAAAAAAAAAAGCCTAACGCAATTAACAAGAAAAAGGATAGAGAATTGAGAAAAAGAAAAGAAAAGAAAAAAAAAAGAAAAAAAATATTAAATAATACAAATATAAAGAAAAAAAATAAATGAAATTCTGTGGACACGATGTTTTTTGTTCAGTCATATCTTATTTGATTTTACTACAAGGAATCTTTTTGATTTTTTTATATATCTAAAGACTTCTTTAAAGATTTCACAGTTTTCCTCGTATGTTAAAGTTTGGCTACCCTCAGTGAGCAACTGTAGATTTATTGTCACTTGTAGACGATGAATGTTGGTTAATAGATCGTTCCTTATATCGGCGTATTTATTGCAATTAAAGAAGAAATGAAAAGAATCCTCATGCGGAGCGCCACAAGCACAATATGGACTTTGTATTATATTTGATTCAAATAGGTCGTTATTTAGAAATGACTAATGTGTACATATGTATAACTCAGTAATACCTTTGATCTGTCGGTCTATGTTAAAACCCTCCTTACGTAATTTGTGTGTCCATTCATTCACCTAAAATTGAAACACATTATATTTATATCATTAGGCATGTATATTTAGATGTATCAGGAGAAAAAATTAGCAAAGGAGAGAGAGAGAGAGAATACACTTGTGTCATGGGAGGAAATCTTGCAAAGCTTGTTGAATAAAAATGTTAATTAATAAGCCTACATGTGTATATGCATGTATGTATATGATTTAATATCTTATTAAATAAAAGAGCTTTTAGCCAAAAAAAAAATATAGCAAACAAACCAATAACCATTTATATAATTAAGGAATTAAATGGATATCTGGCCTAAAAATTTCACTAAATAAAAATGAAAAAATTACAGGTTATGTGAACAATGATACTCAACCTCAACCACCTCTGCAGTCATGAGGTAGCCTGTTCAGGTATCAGGTCCGTTCACGCCCAATACATGTTCGCACCCTACACGTTCGCCCCCTAGGTCCGTTCGCACCCTACACGTTTGCACCCATTTTTTTATTCAAATTCAAGTTGAATTATTAGATATTTTTTTATATGTATATACCAAAAAAAATATATTTTCCTGAATAAAAATTGGGGAATTATTATATGAATTTTTTTTTTTTTTTATCAATTTGATGATTAATTATTAAATGTTAATTATGTACAAATCAATGTATGATTACTGCTAATTGGTATTTATACACAGCTAAATTTGGTATCATTGTTGTGTGTTTGAAAATCATGATTGTTGTTTTAACTTACTTTGATGTAAATACTGCATCATGTATTTAGCTTGGTATGAGTAAAACATTGAAGATTTTAAAAGAAAAACATGAAAGATAATTGATTTTAACAGCTTCGCCACTTTGATCTCACTTTATTTTGAAACAATGAAAAAAAAAAAAATTATATCACAACACTAACCAAAACATAATTTAAGATTTATTCAGCACAAAAAAAAACACGTGAGAATCTCACTTTATTTTGAAACAATGAAAACATAAATTTATAGTAATACACTAACCAAAAGATGATTAAGATTTATTCAACACAAAAAACAAACGTTGTCAGAATCTCACTTTATTAAGAAACAATTAATTTTTTTTTATAGCAATACACTAACCAAAACATGATTAAGATTTATTCAACACAAAAAACAAACGTTGTCAGAATCTCACTTTATTAAGAAACAATGAATTTTTATTTTATAGCAATACACTAACCAAAACATGATTAAGATTTATTCAACACAAAAAAATGTTGTCAGAATCTAACTTTATTTTGAAACAATGAAAAAAGAAATATTTACAGCAATACACTTACCAAAACTCGATTACAAAATTATTAAACACAAAACCAATAAAAAGGGTGGGAACGGACTTTGAACGTGTAGGGTGCGAAAATGAAAGGGGCGAACATGAATGGGCGCGAACATATTTTTGGGCGAACGGACCCAGATTCGCCTGTTCACCTCTAACATGTCTAATGTGGGAAGTTACTGATTCCATCTCAAACCAAAGCCTTGAAAATTTGTTCAACATGTTCAAAGATGTTTCACTGCTAACTATAAGTAGACTGCACTTAGAAGAAAGAGTAAAGACTGGTTGGCTCATGAGTTAGAATAATGTGTCCATATCCTCATGCAGACTGTTACACATGTACATGTACTTTGTGAACTAGCACATTAAAAATCTGACTCAGCATTTCTTTTTAGTACAAAGAAGGGTCCATACTCATATCTGTTAACATTTTCTCTTCCTGATATGCATGTAATATTCGTCATTTGACATTATACACCAACAAGAGGGGGTCCAAGCCATCATCACTATCAGACTCATGACCAAGCATCCTTTCAAAAATATGTTAAAGCTATCACTCAAAAATCCTTTAATACACATGTAATTGAGTTTAAAAAAGGTGAGAGATTCTTGCAAATTTTACAACATCACATTTATCATATATAAAAAAAGTATAAATGCCTTGATGTAGTAGTAAAAGGCAATATCAGATCCCTAATGACAGACATATCACAAAAATATACAAGCCCACGTTTTATTTCCATTAAACATGATGTTATGTCGATTCGTATTTGTCACTATAAAAATTCTCGTTGTTTTGTATATTATGCCGACTCTAAATAAAGCTTGTTTGTTAGTATGATGTTACTAGTTTGCTGAAGATTCAATAATACAATATATAAACTGTAGACTGTTAAAGACGAGTCGTTATCTTCTAAAAATTGTCGTACGATACCTTAAATTTTGGGTCATCCAATTATCGGAGTGACAATTTTCTATGATTTTGTCAGACAATAAGACGAAGATATTGAAAAATTGGTGTGAAAAGTAAACAAGTATACCATATCTTTTGGCGATTTTTCATTTGATTTTCCAAACAGACCCATAATGTAATATGATCATCGGCTAAAATAATAATAACAGGAAAAGCAACAACAGGAAGTGTGCACAATATAGTAAAACAAAAACGACAACGTATTGCACAAATCCGTTATTAGAACATCTACATAACACTACATAATACTTTTTAACTAGTCTTTAATATGTAGAAGATTACAAGAAGGCAACTAAGTATATAATTTATCTTATATTCATGTTTTATCCCAGATTGGACATCAGTTACCTTTTTCGTATTTTTTTTAAAATTCTTTCCACTTGCTTTTGAAACTTTGTAAACAAAAATCAATGAGTCTCCACTGAAACATCTGAGATCATCTGATAATCTTAACTACGATACAGTCCGTTAAATCCGCCCACATAAGGCTTTGACCGTATCATATGTATTTCTGCTTAATTATATACAAGTTGTATCAAATTTAACGCTTCACTGACAAATCAATTTTGAGTAGTTTATCTAATTTCCCAAAAAAATATCTGAACGGCTTAATAAATTTTAAAATCAACAAAACAAGTGGGTCATCTGTGTTTTTATCGGAAATGTGTTTGTCCGGTTAATCCGTCCCGATGGACAGTAAATATGTATGGAGGGCCAGTTGATCATATATTTATGAAAGGAACGCTGATCTATTAATAAAGGGATTCCAGACAATCGAAAACAAAATTTCAAGCAGAAACGAGTTTTGTAAGCAATAATAGATTATCGTTAGCTTTAGGAACTGTATTATATATATATATATCACTATATATATGCGTAATAAAGGATTTTTCTTTAACATTTGACATGCCGCAGTAATGATAATTACAGTTCCTATGAATAAAATAGCAGACGAAATATTCAAGGAAATGACAATTACGGAAGTAAATGGGACGGTGGGCGGGTTTACCGGACGGACGGAATTACCGTACACCACTGTAATTTAAAGTACTTTATGGTATATTTTTCACAGCCAAATATTGTCAGTTATCGAAATTTATTACTAGTACTGGCACTGAAAAAAAATTGAGCAATGGGACTCTGATAAAATGTAAGGGAGACACGGAAAATTTTGAAAACAAATAAAATGTTATATAATATGTTAAATATATATGCTCGTAAATTATAAACCGAGGTGACACACCTGTTCTATCTGGGACTACTATACTAACTTTAGTATAACCGTTGGCAGTCCCAGGTTCCGTAATAACTATTGTGAAAAACTTTCAATGTCGAACTGCTGGCCGGGAAGCAGGACAAATCGCCCCACTGGAAAATCGCCCCACACCAAATCGCCCCACTTTTTCACTAACTCGCCCCACTTTTAAAAAAATCGCCCCAAACTGGTTTACCAACTCGCCCCACTTTTTAAAAAATCGCCCCACTTGTGAAAAGGGTTAAATCCCGTTAATTTTTCTCCTGCCAACTCGCCCCACTTAACGAAAAAAAGGTAAAATCTAGATGAATACATAATTTTCAGGTCTGCCAACTCGCCCCACTTAAATGAAAACTAATCTACACAGAATACATAAAAACGCAAATTTATTAGATTATTATTATTGAAATTAAATGATGTTTCACTTTCTCAAAATATAGTTGTAAATACATTATTCATTATCATATAAGTTTCGTATTATTGGAGAATAACTTTATTCTTGTAAGCTTAGTTATTTGCATAACAATTGAAAAGAAAACTGTTAATTGTATCATAATCCGATATTTTATCATAACAATTGAAGGATTTCAATTTGTTTTTATAGCACTAAACGGATTGGTTACTTTTGTCTTTGAATTAAGAATAATTAAACACTAACGAGCAATCAGTGAAAGGCAAATGTTTCTTTCAAGTAAATATCAAAGAGAATGTCCATTCATGCATTCTAGTCAAAGCAGGTTTTGTTGTTGTTGAAAAATTGATTGGTAAGTTTTGTTTATGGTTTGAAAACAATAAAAATTGAGAAATTTATGGCTTGGTTTCAAAATTATAAAAAGTAAAGTAGCCTTTGTCATGCATTTACTATGTCTACTGTGTATCCTTGTGATGTATTGAAGGCAGCATATCTACAACCAGACTCTTACGCCAGTGTTGTCGTGTCAACGGTCCAGTCGTGGAAGCAGACAGCTACTATACTATCTAATGACAATCTATTTTATGCCATATATGTGTATTCATGTTCATGTTTCTAGTGCTGACATTTTATCTAGTACTTCGTTTTATGTTATCATGCCAGTCCTTGTCATAATTAATTTAATGTATGTTTGTTTAAAATGTTATTGTTATGCATACTCATGTTTATCTAAGGTTTTTATAGGTATTGATTTTATTTATAAGTGGGGCAGGAACATAAATATACAACGGGATTGCATCTTTTTTCATAAGTGGGGCGAGTTGGCATTACTGAATTCATCGTGGTTTATCTATTTGTCATGAGTGGGGCGAGTTGGCATACCTTATTTCAGCGGGATTTTAACCCTTTTCATAAGTTGGGCAAGTTATCCAACCTATTTTCAATGGGATTTTACCCTTTTTCATAAGTGGGGCGAGTTGGTAAACAAGAGTGGGGCGATTTTTTAGAAAGTGGGGCGAGTTGGTGAAAAAGTGGGGCGATTAGGTGTGGGGCGATTTGCCAGTGGGGCGATTTGTCATGGATTCTGCTGGCCGTTATACTTTTGTCTACGAATTTTATAATCTTGTGGTATATTAGAACTTGAGTTCAAAAATGGTTTCTAGACTTTGACTGACTTTACTACAATTAACTTCACTGTTTAACGTCATGACTATAGGGTCATTTCCCTTTTAATTTTTTTTATCGAAATCCATTCAGTATTTTGTATTTTTTCTTCGTTTTGATTTGGATGGTTGGTTTCTTATTGTTACGTCTTACGCAGTAAAATTGGCTTTGTGCATGCACACGAGGTCTAAATTATATAAATGCACAATGCTGAATATAATTATTAAGACCAGTTTTAATTTGATTTCAATTCAAAAGATGAATCAAGACAGTTTACCATTTAAAATTACGTAGAATCAGAGATATGTGTAGTATCTAGTCTCTAGTAGAATGTATTTCTTTTAATCCCATTTATGCATTAAGAAAGGGTCAAATGAAAAAAAAGAAACACTTCAGCGCGTAACGTATATGGCCCCTGAATTATCATTTTTTCCTCGAATTTGGAACTTTTTGGTAATTATCTCGAATATTTAAATACGAAAATTATAAGAGGAACAAGATCTTTCTTCCACATGGGAATGCTTGAAAGATCGGACGAACCAGTAATCAAGTTTTTGTCCTTATAATCGGTACTTACAGGTTATCAATTTAACACAGTAGTAAAATCTATATATTGTTTTTATTGGTATTAAAATTGATTTTGTTTTTGAAAAATTAAAACATAACTAAATACATATCGCTATATATTTGAAGTTATGAGAACTAATGATCCTACATTTTGTCAATACTGTTTTATTTATATTTCGGCATTGCACAACGTCATGCGTTTTTCAGACTGTTTATGACATATGTATACTAAACCCGTTAGATGTGTTACTGTAATGATTGATACTTAAGTCTGGGAGAAAATGATTTATTTATTAGTCATAATTTAATTGAACTAGCTTTTAGTAGCTGCGAGTACTCTTATTTCGGTGCAATGTGTCTATTGTTTTAATGTAAGTTATTTTTGTACCTCGTACTGATCTTTTGAGTTAGGCCCATTGCAACTGATTTTTACAGTTTGTTCTTATGTTGTGCTGTTACACCACAGTCCCAGGTTAAGGGGAGGGTTGAGCACTCTCAAACATATTAAACCCTGCCACATTCTTTATGTTCCTTTTCTAAGCCAGGAGCCTGTAGTTTAGTGGTTGTCGTTGGTTCATGTCTGTCATATTTGTTTTTCGTAAATTGTTTTGTTATAAATTCGACCGTTAGTTTTCCAAAATTTAATTGTTTCACATTTTTCATGTCGTGGCCTGTTTAATATAGCCGACTTTACGGCATGGTTTTTTTTTTTTGGTGAAGTCCTATAATTACTTACATCCACTTCATTTGATCTTTGGTGGATAGTTGTCTCATTGGCAATCATACCACATCTCCTTATATCATTTTGTGTTATCTTTTCAAAAATCATCTCTTTTGAAAACGACAGAACAGATTTGAACCAACCTTTATGTGAATTTTCTTTGGGATATCTATAGTCAATAATTACGGTACTGATTCATTCGTGAACCTTTAATTGCTGCTGTTGCTACAAATATTACTTATGGATCAAACTACAATTTTGTAAAAACTGAAAAATATTAACATTTTTGTTAGTTAGTTTTAAATGAATTCTGGCACCCATCCCAAACACCTTTCTCTGGTAAGTCGTCCACAGCACATCTCCCTTAAAAGACCTATATAACCTAATAACCAATCAGGTCATGATTTTTCATTATCGACCTGATTTTGAAATGATTTAACGCGCGTGAACCTGAATAAATATGTTCTATACTTGATCAAGACCAACTATTTTTGTTTATATTCTAGAAGCCTTCTTTGCATTTCATATTGTCAAGAGTTGTTCCACGTTCAATAGTTTCATGTGAAAGATCAGATTTCAATGGTGAAACATCCAAATAATGAAGCATTTTCGATTTGACTTTTCCCTAATGCTCCATGGTATGAATTACGACTGTTTTTATTCAAACTCACAAATTCATTAAACAATTCAATCAACGAATTAAGAGAAAATAGGGAAAATTATGCATACACAGCCATTGTGCACGATTAGCCATAGAATAATGAATCATTTGGCGATGTTCTTCGATTCCAATTCGTTTATCTAATACAGTTGCAACATTTACTAATGCAATTAATTTAAAGCCACTTTGCCGAAAATCACGTCTACAACAAACCACATAAAAAACAAAGAAAAAATATCGAGGTAGAAAAAAATTGAAGCGAAGGAGAAAATAAATAACTAAGAAGTCGGTAAATCATCAACTTCTGCAGTGGTAACAAAATATATCGCTACAACAGACAAAGACTTAATGATAAAGACAGAAGTGTGTAAACTGACACGCATGTATTG